TTGTATCTGTTTCGGCCAATGCATTGCATAACAACACCAAGAGAGCTCTACTAGCCACATTAAGAAATTGCCAGGCAATTATCATGCACCAAGGGGGAACCAGTTCCCCGGGCAAACTTTTATCGTTACCGTTTAGCACCAAACTCAATTTCGCTTTTAATTAGAGGCATTCACGTTGATCTCCGACTAAGCGTAATGATCAACAATTAAGCCGTGCTTAAAGATCAATTACTTTGAGGGGACTGGGGTGTTGACAGTCTTTCAGACGTCATTACCTATCGGGCTTGTTCTTTTCTCGGCCATAATTAGCTGTGTCTCTTAAGTGCTTCCGAGTCTTTCATGATCAACCTTTGATTTCCCATTGTGTAATTCTGATTTTTATATAGCTAATTGCCTTGAAGGTCAATGTGTGGGACAAATGCTTTGAAACGCATGATGTAAATTATTTATGAAGTCTATTAAAGAGGAAGTAGTAGTTCTTGGAATTCAATTGGAAAAGCAAATGTTAGATAAATAATTAAATTAAACTTTAGCAAGGATTTAAATACCAAAAGCCTTTCCCAACCTTTTAACTAAACTTACCAGTAATGCAACTGAAAAGTTAACCCATTAACTTGTCCATAAACTTTAAGTACAAAATCACTTCGCTCGCAGCCAACACTCCACGCAAGACAAAAGACCCAAAATTAGTTGACCATTATGTTACGTGAAATTCAATATTTCGCTGGCTAGAAAAGAGCTTTTGTTGGCCAAGCCCGATCTGTCGGATCAGAAGGCGCCAGAGCTCTGTGTTGCCAAACACTCCCGGCCACAAATGATCCGACCTGTCCTGTTGCCACAGTTCACTCAGATGTCAGAGCGTTGGATACCTACACTGAAAATTTTCAATTTACACATTAATTTAAATAATCAAAAAAAGGAGGAAGACATTTTTCATGAGACTATCTGCATACCGGATAATTTTTAAGATTTATATAAATTTCTGATAGATAACTTTGAATAGTTTACAAAGGAGTATTTTGAAAATTTGAACATTTTTGTTTTGAAAATTCAATGGAATCTTATACCTGGAATTAGACCTAGTTTTACCTTAGAAGGTGCTATAAACCTTAGATTGCTTTACTAATTTTCCAAGTAATATTCCGCCAAGTGCATTACTCCTAATCCAAACCCAAGAAGGAGCATTACGCAAATGGCGGCCGGTGAGAAATGTGCAGCAGCTGCGGCAAGTAGATCGACTGGCAGGCGAAATAAAAGGTGGCTGGCAGCATATAAAATTCATTTGCTTGGCCCCCCAAAGTAATTACGTTCGACTAACTGGCTGCCACTCTGGCGGATACTCAACGAGCTCATAGCTCATAGCTCACCTATAGCAGGTGGCCAGCGATGGATGGAGCCACCAATTGGCCACTGGCCACTCGCTAAGGTCAGATGTGTCCATCAATTGAGCCGCAGCAACATTCTCGGCACAGAATCGCAAGTGTATGCGGCTGAGTCAGCGGATGCCCGACTTGGCTCGCAGCTTAATTGCAATAACATTGAAAAATACTCGAACACTGAGATTCCTCGCCAGAGATTGGGGCTCCCACTAACCCACTGAACTGAATCGGGCTCTTTTTGGGTGGAGCATGCTTCGTGGAGCGAGAGGTTGCAACACTCGCTGCAACTCGTTCCAATCCCAGCCAGATGCAGTGCTTCCTGGTCGCGATAAGACCGGCAATTGAATTCACTTTGGGCCCCAATTTCGCGGCTCTGGGAGTGCTATGCTGACCAGGGACCGCCGCGAATTGTTGTGTAAATATTTACCCGGCTAAATGCAAATCATGATTAATTTAAGCGACCCGACTAAGGCTCGTATAGTGTCTATCCCAGCCACTGACATTTCAGCACTTGCCGTCCGTGTTGCCTGTCAAAATACCAAGCGACATTCTAATGAGCTCGAGCTCGTGCTCAGCTCGCGGAGTCAAGTGTTCTAGTTTGCCATGGAGCTGAGCTCAGTCGCTGTTCGTGAACTTTTCCAGCAGATGACAGGGCACAATTGGAAGCCTTAAATATCACAATCGATGGCAGACAGCAGCGAAGCCTTGCAGTGCAGGTGAAAATAATAGCACTCAAGATGACAGCAAGAAATTTGGTTATCTATTTATCTACTTTTTAAATTGAATAGGTTTTTGGCTTGATTTTGGAGGCTTATAAAGGGATTTAAATTAATATTAACCTGAGGTCACTGAAGGTTGACTTTTGGGGTATTACATTACCTTTCTTATTCTGCAAACTAGATTATATGAGTTACACAAATTTATAAAGCCATACATGTTTGATAAAATATTTAATACTTTATAAATATGTATTCATACAATTCTTAATAACACTTCTAATTTTTAGAACCATATAGGGTTCTACATCAGTGTCTATATCTTCCGATTTAAATCATATTATTTTCATAGGTATACAAAATAAAATAGAATTTTATTGGTCAGTAAACTTTTTACTCCAAAAACCATTAGATGGCAGCACTACTATTTTTATTGCAATCGTTGGTATTTATTTTATGATACCTAGTATATCTAAATCTTGATTCTCACACACTCAGAAAAACAAGGCAGTTTTTGTGGCAACTTCCCAGACTTGCAACTAATTTCCACGACTAAAAAAAAAACCTGCAACAATTAAATTGGCAAGTGTGAATTTCCGCTGACCAAGAAACCAATGCTGAGGAGCCTGAAAAAAAATACGAAAAATAAAAACAAGAAAGGAAGCTAACTTCGGCACGCCGAAGTTTGTATACCCTTGCAGATTGGTTTTGATGTTTATTTTATAGATTTAAATGCTGAAAACACTCACAAAACAGAGTTTCATTACATTTTACCTATACTTATTATGTTTACAGTTTGACAGTTACAGTTTTACATTCTCAGCTTTATATATTTTATACATTTACCGATCGCTTCTATGGCAGCTATAAGATATAGTTGTCCGATTTTTATGAAATTTATACCAAAATTCTAGAATAATAAAAAAAACGTATATCTCAGAGTAAATAAAAATGCGTTGAAAAACAACGAAGCTATAATTTTATTTCTATTAATTTCTCGATCGTTCCTATGGCAGCTATATCATATAGTCGTCCGATTTTCATAAAATTTTTACCAAAATTCTGGAATAATATAAAATGGCTATATCTCAAAAATGATGCAAAAATATTGAAAAACAGCCAAGTTATACTTTTTTTCTAAAAATTTATCAAACATTTGTATGGCAGCTATATGATATAGTCGTCCGATCCGGCCCGTTCCGACATATATAGCAGTGAGAGCATATAGAAGACTATATGCAAAGTTTCATTCAGATAGCTTTAAAACTGAGGGACTAGTTTGCGTAGAAACAGACAGACAGACAGACGGACAGACGGACAGACAGACAGACGGACAGACGGACAGACAGACAGACGGACAGACGGACATGGCTAGATCGACTCGGCTGTTGATGCTGATCAAGAATATATATACTTTATAGGGTCGGAAACGTCTCCTTCACTGCGTTGCAAACTTCTGACTGAAATTATAATACCCTGCAAGGGTATAAAAATAGATAGCGATGCTGCAAAGCCAACAGCAATTTGCAGACCGAATTGCGAGTAGTCAAGGTCGCAGCGTGCAAATGTAACACTGGCATAAATTATGCTCTAACTGCGCACCAATACACAGGCAGCAGCTGGTCTTGGGTCCTAACGGTACGAGTGCAAATTGCAGCGAAAATCGCAGCAGCAGCGGCAACACCAACAACACGAGCAGAAGCGGCAGCAATTGCAATTACCAGTGCCAATTGCTGCAGCAAAGACATCGAGAACAGCGAGCAGCGCGGCGCGACAATCGCTGGGATATTATTATAAACTTGCCAGCAGAGCAACAATAACAGCAACAACAAATAAAAAAACAAACAACAATTGACAACCTTAAAGATAAACATTCTGAATGAACACATAAGCAGATACTCTATAAATTATAGAGGTACTCTAGTTTATTCATTGAATGTGCCTCGTTTATGGTGGGAGAAAATGTAAAATAATAATTATAATTACGTAATAATATTCTTTTTAAATAATATATACAATATATAAAAATTAAAATAATATTTTAATAATAAAATATATAAATAAAGGGAAATTAAATTGTTAAATCTCAACAGAATAAGGGGAATTAATGAATTTCAGAGGAACTATTTGATAGAATTATATAAATTCCTAAAAACAACTGAAAAAGACTGTTTAAAATGTATTTAATCATAAATTTAATATTTTCATTTAATTTGATTTAAGAATTGTATTTAACATAGCATATATTTCTATTAAGAAAGAGTAAATCTTTAACCTTAAGCACTCATATTAGGTTATTCTTATTTAAAGTATTTAATTCAATTTTATAAGATGCAAAAGTCATGCTAAAAGTAACTGTGGAAGTGGAAGAGTTAATACTTGCATTTTTCAAAGCAACTTAAAATAAATTTTAATAGTTTTAAAATTCAAAAAGGGCACCTCCTAGTCCACATAATCTTGTCGAGCGCCTGCTTACCACCGCGTTGAACCCAAACCGAGGCAGAGTTCAGCGCTTGGGATCGGAAGGGGTCGATGGATGGATCTCGTCTCAGACGCTGCGGGTAAACAATGCGGCGCTTGACAAAACTGTGTGCGAAAAAAGCAGACAACGCAAAGGCAACCATTGAAATGGAAACGAAACGAGCTGCAATTACAACGGCAACAGCTTCAGACTGCAGACTGCAGCCAGCAGACGGCAGACTGCAAACTGCGGATGCAGACGCTAAGTTCCACAACATTGAAGCCTCGCAGCAACGGCGGATATGGCAACTGGGCTTCAGCTTCAGCTGCAGCCTCGGCATCGGAGCATCTGCATCTGCCACTGGAAGTGCAGCAGCTGTTGCCGGTGGGGGCCAAGTGGCAAGTGAATAAAAGCCACCTACAAGCCATCGAGTGGCATCAGTTGCCAGCAGCCAACGAGCCACCGAGGATTAAGTCACCCACCCACAACAGCATGATGAAACTGGTAAGGATCTGGGGAGAGGAAAAACTCTCCAACAAGGATTAAGGATTCCTACCCTTTCCCAGATACTGTCCCTGCTCTCCCTTTGTGCCTTGGCAGCAGCTCGTCCTGGCTTCCTGCACGGCCACCATCACCACTATCCGGAGTATCCTTTATATCCGCATCACCATCATCATGTGGAGCCACTGCATGTGGCCAAGATTGTCCACCTGCCCGCCGCCGTCTCCCACCAAAGCTCCACGGTGGTGCACAGTGTCCCCCATCACATCATCAAGCCAGTGATCCTGCCCACAGTGGTGAAGACGGTGGTGCATCCTCCCATCCTCAAGGCTTATCATCCTGCGCCGCTCATCAAGGCCTATCATCCTTACGATCCTTTCCACCTGCATCACCACCATCACGATTTCCATGATTTCCATCACTATTAATCGAAGATTAATTCACAATGCTGACCTGACTGATGATGATAATGATAACTGACTACGAGGAAGATGATGATGATGATGCATACCTGTGTATGCTGTGTATGTATGCGTGTGTGTCAATAGCTGAACTGTTGAGTCGTAAAGGATGTTTCGCTGTAAGCTGCTGGATAAATATTCCGCCTAACCTTAATATACTGTACATAAAAAGATACAATATCTGAAAGTTTGGTTTACACATTTTGGTTGGGTTTGGGGTATAAAAATCTTAGAAAATGTTAAGTTTAGTGTTCAAACATGAACACGGTTTTAGATAAGAAGCATCTGTTAGCGATAAAGTCCCAGCAGCAGAGCACGGCCTAGCACCATATCTATCTATTAATACAACCGGCACTTGAGCCTATGTAACAAGTAACCCGAAATATGACCTCCTGCGAGCGGTCTGGGTTTGTTTAAGATATGTTCTTTCGGGGTGACTGTTTGCACCCTTATCGTACTTTAAATACTTCCCACGATTGGGAACTGTCCGATGCGTGGGTCTAGAACTAAGATCTACAATGTACATTCTCATGTTAGCTATATAAGCTAGGGTTTGAATGGAATAAAATCAGTTTCTTACAAAAACTCAACGTATGAAGACGTCCTCTAATTCGGGCGGTCTTTCATTTAGTCTTAATATTGTGAATGGATAGATGGATAAAAAAGTTAAAGAATTAAGTCATTGGTTTCTAAAGGATTGATATTCATGAAATATTTATTTAAAAGTTTGGTTTATATTTCTGTAGTTGAGTAAAAAGAGGGCAATTCTTACTATAAGATTTGTTTTAAATCATTTATGAGCAAGTATTGTTAAAGGTTCTTTTAGATGTAGAAAGCACATTAAAAATCAAACATCTCACAAGAATTCATATATTTATTAAACATCCTTTATTTATTTGACGTTCATGAAAAAAAGATCCAAATAGCACTCTTGAAAACGATACCCCACGCACGTATCTACTGAAGCATACTTGCTCAGTTATAATTAATTATTTCTCTGTTTCCACCAGCTTTGTGGCAAATAGGAAATGGATACGGCAGCTGACGCAAAACGAGGTCTGATCTTTCTCTGTGTCGCCACGAATCGCTTTTGCCAACCGCCAACCAAGTGACATAATTGGCACATAATCATAATTAACCAAAAAAATCATTCGATACATTCGGTCCGGTATTCGGTTCGTCGTCGGGGGATGGGATGGCACATTTCCCATGGTGACAACACACGTTGGCTCTCCATGTGGCAACCAAATGCATTTTCGCAGCGTTATGCAAATCAGTGCATAAGCAGCATGATGAATGTCTGCATTGGGGAAGGAGGAGGAGGAGCTGCCTCGCTGGTGTTGGCCAAGCGAGGTGATAAATAGTCACTGCTGTGCGGCAGGGCTGTTTTCCAGCCCATTGTAAGCCAGAAGGGATCCCAGTCTATTTCAAGTTCAAGTCTGTTTTGCCTTTGCAATTGGCCCGGCTCTTTGCATAAGCCAGAATGCAAATTGCCCCCACACTCGCACACTCACACTCAGTCAGAATTATTCACATTCAGAATTAGCTTAATCGACGAACATTGCCATAAAGGCAGGCAAATGGGATATATTCGAGCATTTAATGTGACATAAACATCTAATTGATGTATTTATTATGGCCAATTTGCAATGAATACGAAAGAGTGTTGGGCGTAGTTCGGTGTATTTGCTTCTCTGCTTCTCTGGCAAACAAATAAATTCGTACTTCCTTGTTTGGTGCATTAAAAACAAATCAAAATCAATATCAATCAGCGGTAACCCTGAAATGTTTTTGGCTTTTTGTTTTGGCCTGCCTTTTCATCGGCCAATTTAGCCGCAAATCGGTTATGCTTTAAGCCAACTTTTCAGAGTGCGGTCAGCGACCGGCAAACGAGGCAAACAAATAAAATACAATAAAATAGTAAGTAAATAGATTTCGACAAGGTAACTGCGGTTTTTGTACATATTATTTTAAAGACACGTGATTCGGTAGCTCATTAAAGGTAAACAAACGAGCAGTGAGTAAAGGTGGAACTATGGAGTTCAGACTGAGTTAAATAGGTGCGGAATAGATAGGAATTGGGAGGTGATTTTAAAAGGTTTTTTTTAAATATATTAGGTATATATAACTACCTAAATTTTAAGAATAATACAGAAATATAAGGCACAAAATATTATTAAAAATCCATAAAAAATGTCATGTTGTCTTAAAAAATCTAAAATTTAAATTGGAATATATTCTCATAATTTAATAATTATATTCCTTTAAATCAAGTTAGACCGAACAAATTCCTGACAAAACTAAGTATATATATCAGCCAAACAAGTTCCGTAAAACTTTATTTAAAATTAGTTCACTCTCCCATAAAAATTATATACATTTCCTTGATCTTTCCTACAATAATAAATCTGTTAAAATGTGTCTGATGTGCAAGTGTCGCACTATTGCACAAGACAAAATCATATTGGTTTTGTCGATTGGCCGAGCCCCGAGGCAAGTTAGCTGAAGTTAACCAACTGAACTACCAACTGACCGCTGGCCGCTGACGTTATTGGCAAGTCACATTAATCAACGTTTCGCCAAGTTGGGGACGTAATTTATGCAAGCCAAAAGTGCAAAGAGCAGCCCCCCCTCACGTCGCTTGAGTTGATTCTTTTGTGGAGCTGAGCTAAGCTGAGCTCTCACATTACATATTTTCCCCCTCACATGATTCTATTTATTTGTGTGCTTAATTGTGCGACGCATGCAACAGTGTCAAGTATACGCCGCATAGTCCGGACTGGGACTGGAACTGGGGATTGGGAATACGGCAAACAATCCACTTAGAACATGTCTCGCATTGCATAAATCATAAGGCGGCGAAATCGAATAGAAACGAATCAGATCGCTGCGAAGTGGCCAGTCAAGTGAGGGAGAACCTGTGCCAAAGCACTGGGAAAATGTTATGAGAACTTTGGTAATAAATTAAAGATTTATTTAAAGGAAAAGTTATTGTATATAGAATATTCCAGTACTATAGAATTTGTACGCTTTATGCCAATAAATTTTAAATTATCAGAAGCTTTTAAATATATAAAGATTAATAGTTTGTATTACTATTTCCTTAACTGAACTACTTATATATACTCTTATATATAAGCCTCAATAATTTTTAATAGTAATATAAATGAGTTCGTTTCAAGTAAAGTTTAGTTAACATTTTTTGCAGTGCAAATGTGTAAGACGAGAACCTGCCCCCGGAAGGGTTGGCATTCAGTTCGATTTGGTTCTATGCGGCTTAACTTGGCTCAAAAGGCTAGTGGCTTGGGGAAACGGTGTGTGTTTGTTGCCAGGTTAAGTGAGTGCAGAGTGCAGAGGCGTGTTGGCGACCCATTTAGAGAGCAACAAATGCAGTTCTGATCTCGAGTATTTTGTATAAATAGGCCAGTCCAGCATGCAGTTCTATGTCAAATCGTTCTTAGCCATCGACAAAACAAAATGTTCAAGCTGGTAAGGAAATTGCCACAAGGCCTAGAAAATTATCTTCATTAAAAAGGATTCAATTCGAAGGATAACTATAATTTCTATAACCTTTCCAGTGCATCTTCGTTGCTCTCTTCTGCCTGGCTGCTGCCGCCCCTGCGCCTGCTCCCGCACCTGGACTGATTGCGGGACCTGGACTCGTGGCTCCTGGTCTCTGGGGACCTACTGTCGTCGCCGGACCCCATCTGGTTGCTGCTCCCCAAGTTGTGAGCGTTGTACCCGGCGCCATCTCCCACTCTGCCATCACCCAGGTGCATCCTTCGCCGCTGCTGGTCAAGAGCATCCACGGTCTGGGACCCGTTGTGATTGGTTAATCTCCAGGAGATTGAAATTGCCCCCAGGAATATATCTCACCCACACACGCCAGCCATATACAACTCCTGTTCAGCTCTCCAGCATTTCTGGGAAATCACATATCCTGTCTTCCGCCATGCCCTGTTTATAAAGCAAGCAAATCCAGCAATGAGAACGAAAAATACACAAAAAAATGTTTAGACACTAAAATACATTCCAAGCAATAAAATACCTACCATACTTGTTATAGCGAGCGAAATTTTGTGTTTTTAAAATTTTCTAAAGTAAAGCTATTAATTTTAAGGGCAGCCTGAAAGTAGGCAACTCAAAGAGTTATTGCAAGTTTGTATAAGACTTGTATAAGATGGCCAACTTTTATGTACATATTCTTCCTCAAATATTGATTATTTTTTTAATTTAACTTAAAAAAGGAAATATTTATTTTTCAAATTAGTTTTCCATTATTTTCTTTTAAATTGTAAAAAATAAGAAGCTTTGAAATCATGTGTTTCACTATTGAAAAGAACAAAAAATGAGTGCTAATTAATATTCCTTTAAAAAAGCACTACAAATATTTCTTTAAAAATATGTTTTTACATTTTCAAGCTATTTTTAGCATAGTTTTCTAAAGAAGCATACATTTTTTAAAACCGCCTAATTAGATTTAAATCTAAAATTCATAACTCAGAAAAACTCAACGATTATCTTGTTATGGTGAAACGAAAAAACATTTATTTAAACAAAAAATCATAAAAACTGTATCACATTTGGAGTCCTTAATGGTGCAGAGTGTAGGCCAGAGGAGCAGCATGAACCACAGACTTGACCAGAGGAACGGAGTGAACCACTGGCACGTTGTGAACCACAGGCACGGTGTGGTGGACCACTGGAGCGGCATGGACAACGGGAACGGATTGAACCACTGGAGCAGTGTGGACAGCAACGGTCTTCAGGACGGGAGCAACCACTGGCTGGACGACGGCCTTGCTGTGCACCTGGGTGATGCTCTGGTGGGACACAGCAGAAGGAGCGGAGTGCACCACCGTACCAACCTTGGCCAGGACGGGCTCATGGACCACATGGTGGGTCTCGATCAGACCAGCGCTGGCGGTGGCAACCAGGAGGGCAACGACTGCGATCTGAGGGAAGAAGTGGGTTTATTTCAGATCCTTTGAACCCGGCTGAATCCTTTCAACTTACAAACTTGAACATTTTGAATTGGGTTGTTTTTTGGTAAGCTCAGAAAGATGACTGATGCTGGTGGAGTCCGCAGGTGAGGCTTTTATAGCGACCAAGCCGGGCTAAGGGCTCAAACAGAAACAAACTTCGTGCGCGAAGCTGTCCACCTTGAGGGGCTTTTGATAAGAGCCGAGATACTTCAGACCACAGACTTCAGACTTCGGCTGTTGATTTTGGATTTCGGATCTCTCAGATCTCCAATTTCGGACTCACGACCTGAGCTTTTGGCACTCGGCAGCCGCTGCCGCTGCGGCTGCAACCAGAAATCATAATGAGCCGAGTTTGCCTCGGATTTGGCCCTCGATCCGATCAAAGTCGGGTCATGCAGGGGCGTACTGAAGGTCAGCGGTTGGGTCTGAAGTACCCGGGTTCTATATAAGCTCAGCTGATGGTCTCCAGACATCATCAGTTAACCCCCGAATCTTCTCAAGCCAACAAGCAGCTTCAGTCGCTTCAGCAAACAATTACCAAAATGTTCAAATTCGTGAGTAACTCAAGGAATATATATCCTGCAGATCCGAAGTTAACCAATTATTCCTGAAACAGATCGCCGTCGTCGCCCTCCTGGTTGCCACCGCCAGCGCTGGTCTGATCGAGACCCATCATGTGGTCCATGAGCCAGTCCTGGCCAAAGTTGGTACCGTTGTGCACTCCGCTCCTTCTGCTGTGTCCCACCAGAGCATCACCCAGGTGCACAGCAAGGCCGTCGTCCAGCCAGTGGTTGCTCCCGTCCTGAAGACCGTTGCTGTCCACACTGCTCCAGTGGTTCAGTCCGTTCCCGTTGTCCACCACTCCGTGCCATTGGTTCACTCCGTTCCTCTGGTCAAGTCTGTGGTCCATGCTGCTCCTCTGGCCTACACTCTGCACCATTAAAGCCTTTGTTTGTTGGTTTGTTAAAAATATTAAAAGAAAATTAAATAAAATTCCAAAAAGTATTATTGATCCTTAAATTGCAAATGTGTTGTATTAATTTATATTAGTAGGATAACAAAATTTACAGGAAATAATTACCAAAGCAAAATAATAACCTTCTTAGGTATCGGTAACCTTCAATAATAATATAATATTTAAATTGTATATATTATATTATTAGGAACCACATTAAAATGTTGTGAACTGGTTTAATAATATTCTTTAATCTCAACATTTAAAAGCCATATATTTATGACTTAATAATAGTAAGCAAAGCTACTATTAAAAAAACTCTTAAGAATTTCTTAAAGAATAATTTAAATATATACACCATCTATAGAAAATAGGACCTCATATTTTATTTAAAATGAAAAATCCCCTACATTAGGGAGAGAGACGCAGTTTAAACTTTAAACAGAAAATCTCTAGCTTGTTCATTGATTTTTACAAGCTTTTAATTAAAGCAAATTAAAACCTTTTTTAAGACAACCAAATTAAGTCATTGTAACCCCAAATAAAGCTTAGACAACAAACACAAACTTTGAATTAAATGTTAAACCACGAATCTAAATTTAAAAACCCCTTTCTGGCTGTCTAAAGGATAAGCTCCATCCACTTTTGTTTGTTTGATAAATAATTTATAACAGTTTATTCAAATAACAAAAGCAACAACAATGCACGGCTAGTGCCTTAATGTAAAAGGGGTCCCGAGGCAGCAAAGTTCAATTCAAGATGACATCGAGGTGTGTGTGTCTATATCTGAGTCCGTGGTTAATGTGGGCAGATCCCTTGTCAAACTCCGATTGCTGTACGAGTACCCAAGGCGGTGGCTTTTGGCAGAACATTTGAAAACTTGGCTGGCAGCAGGAAATGTCAGATTATGATGGATTTGGGAGGCCTGAACCAATGCAAGGGCAACAATGATTACCAGGGTGTAGAGTAGCTGTGGGGGGTGTTTTAAAAACATTAAAAAATAAAAATATATGTTTGAATTACTTACCTTTCGATGCATGTTGAGGCAGCTGAAATCTGGATCTAGTCTTAGTTTGAATTTGCCACTGCGAAACTCCAGTAAGAACTCATGACCCACTGAGGCCTACTCGCCGTTTATATAGCCAATTTGTCAATTGATTTTTGGCCAAATGACAAATGACACGCTCAGTTTGGCGAAGGTCTAACAACGAGCCTACTTAGCAAAGTGATTGAATGGTCGACCAAAGAGTTGTTGACCTGGTCAAATCAGTGATCTAAATAATATTTATTAAATTATAGGAACGGCTTTAAACAGGAAGCTAGAGTAAGAAGGAATCACCTCAGTAAATTAAAAGAATTATCCTTCTTTAAACTAAGAAACAAATTATAAAATCCAGAAAATAAATCCGTTGCTTACCTCATCTTGCCCAAGTAAACCTTTTCTTCTTCCCATCCTTCGCTTTCTGATTGAATTCTACGAAACGTAAACAAAAACAATAATAATCAGCAAGTAACACTTCATAAAATTACATGACACAGGCACAAATTAGGATTTACGAGAGCAACGTTGAAGCTGAAACCTCATCTCGATTTGTGCATAATTTTCTGGGTATTCATTTTCCACATTACGACGGACAGATGTTTATCTTAAGTACGTGTAACTGTCGCTCGATCCAAAGTCGAGCCCCAAAAACCCGAAAAACAAAAAAAGAAAAAACAATGACACAGTCGCCGTCCAGCTTGAAATTGTGGGTTAAGTACGCGTGGGGCTTGTCCGGCGGGTAACCTTGACATAGGGACTGAATCTGAGTCTGGGCATGAGTCTGGGGGACTGAATCTGGGACCGTATCTTGGTCTCAGGGCAGGAGGCAGGAGGGGTCTTTATCTGTCACTCGAAGCGGGCACTTAACAGCTGCTGGCCGCTGCAGTCGGTAGCTTGGCCGGGCTTTATGGCCATGAATCACTTGAGGAGCAGCCGCGCACCGCGTCCATCAACTGGACCCGTCGCTGTTGCAATCGCTCTTGCTCTTGGCCAGCTTCAGTCCCAGCTCCAGCTTGGATTTGAATGCAGGGCAGCCCCACATATAATTTATTAAGCTTTTGTTTTGTGACCCGTTTAATGAAGGGCAAACTGTTTCAATTATCGGTTTTTTAGGGTTCTGATTGGGGTCAAGTTTTAGCTGGAAGAGTAAAGATTTATGTCCTAAATTTTAAAGAATTTTTAGCACTAACTTATGAGACTTTTGTTTAAGTTTGAAGCTAAGATTAACTTGACTTACATTTAACTCCAACTAACTTATAGGCATAATTACTTTATTAAGAGATTTTATATAATTAAGATGCTGTAAAGGTTTAAAAGGTTAAATCGATTTAAAAAGCATCCTTAACTTAATTCTATTCCAAGAAACCTCCTGCTCAGCTTCAATGATTTATAAGATTCCCTTCTATTCTTAGCTCAAGTACTCAGCTTATAAGAACAAGATCCCTGACCTATTCCACTAGAATATCCACACACCTGTCTATGTGCTAACCTTTAATAATCTCACCATCTCGATATAGCACATATTTTGTGATCATTCCTTATCCGATTCCCATCGCTGGCATTTACACTTCCACATGAGGCCACAGTGATTCATTAGCGAAGGAATCTAATAAAACGTTATGTGCTTAAAGGTCTCCTCGGCATCACATAACTTATTAAGGCTAACTGGAAGATGCACATCCACATGATGCCTCCGCTGCGGGGGCATGCATCGAAGACAAGACTTGAATGCAACTCAATTACGTTGAAGATGCGACATCCGAAGGATAACCCACGCATCTTGGGTCTAAAGGAGCCCCTCATTTGCGTAAGCGACCGCATCTAAGGCCAATTACTTGGCCCATTGTCGATTGATTGGCCTGGCTTGTTGTCCCAGCTCAGCTTAGCTCCACTGCCATAGCCACTTCCACTTCCTCACCCACACACAAAAGAGGCAGGCGGTCGGAACCTAGGTCAGTTGACGAACTGCGTCTTTGATAAGCGCTTAGAAGCCGCCATCGAGCGGCAGCTGGAAACCCGAATTATATTTTTATTTCAAACCCAAAGCCCAAACCAGTTTGGGGCTCAAGCTCAGCAAAGTACTTAGAGCGACAAACAATTGAGGCTGGGACCAAACTAGGCAACTATAAAAGGCGCCAGCTTGGCCTGTCATCATCAGCAGTTGCAATCGATTCAGCAATCACAGCAAATCCCCAAAACCCAAACTCCAAAAATGTTCAAATTCGTGAGTGCCAAAGTGGAAATAACCAAAGGATAAATCCTTAACTAAGTGTTCTTTCTACAGGTCGCCTTCTTCGCCTGCCTGGCCGTGGCCGCCGCTGCTCCTGGCCTGATTGCCGAGACCCACTCGTATGTGCAGCCAGCGGTTCTGGCCAAGACCGCCTACGTGGACACCAGTGCCTCCTCGGCCATCACCCACCAGAGCAACGTGAATCTGGTGCGTAAGGTACCGGTGGCCTATGCCGCTCCCGTCGTCCATGCTGCTCCCGTCGTCCATGCCGCTCCTCTGGTCAAGACCGTCGTCGCTGCCCCCGCTCCACTGGTGGTGCCAGCTGCTCCCATTGTCAAGACTGTGATCCCGGCTGCTCCCCTCTACAAGACTGTGGTGGCCGCCCCCGCTCCTGTGGTCCACAGCGTCATCCCAGCTGCCCCGATTGTCAAGACTGTGATCCCCGCCGCCCCGCTGGTCCACACTGTCCTGCCCAGTGCCCCCGTCGTGTACTCCGCCTACCACAAGTAAATCGATTGAAAGCAAGCTGACACTCCTGCAATATATTAGTTAAAAGAAGAAAAGTCAATCAAAGAAAATAAAAGAATTTAAACGAAATAATGCGATTGCTTTATGGAGAATCTTTGGAGGGGTGATTTTCAGAAGATAAAAATAGCTTACGGAGCATTGAATATTCATTTTACGGGTTTTTTCAAATTCAAAAATAATGGATATAGTTTTTTTTTATAAAAATAACAACTTTACAGTAGAATGTCCCGACAACTTCTATTAAAAGTCCTTTTTTAATTGTGAATTTAATTTTGGGTTTTATAATTTCAATCTTGAATACAATATCCAAGGTCTTTATTATAACTTTAATTTAATTTAATTTAACAATTAGGGATAAATTTCATGAATTTGCAAATTAAGTTTGATTAATCTTTCCTGAAGTAAAAACTATAATTTATTTAAAACCTAAACAGCAAAAATTTTTACCAGCTTTTACTTTGTTCTAAAAATCCAACAAATTACTAGTCAAAAATAATATTTTAATAATACAATCTAAAGTTTTGAAGAGTTTTTATTGGTAAATAAATTCCTAACGCTACAAGTTTAAAACTTATAAATTAGTGCGATAGTCACAACGGGTCAATTTTTTAAAAATTTCTTATCTGTCTTAAAACTACACAAGATTGAAATACATGTATATCTTATTCTAACAATTTGAATGTCCTTATGTTATAATTGAACATTTATTTTATTATGTCTAGTTTTCATTTCTATAAAACTTTAGTAAATTATTCTTAAATTGCGGCGTGCTTCTTATTGTTTTTAAATTTTGAGGAAGTTCATTCCACAAGCGAATAGTGTGAATAAAAAAGTGGCGTTCAGAAGACGAAAGATTATGACGAAAATTAATGAGATTATTGGTTCTTGCTGATGTTCCAAATTTTAGCTTTTCAAATAGATAACTGGGCTCTCTTGTATTTATTACCTTATGCAAAAGAATTAAATTTCTGGTATTGCTCCAGATTTTAAAGTTAAATCCGTATATGCTATTGGCCATTGCCGTAATGGGATCACCTCGTCTAATATTGAATATGTATCTTGCAATATTGTTAAATGCAACGTTTAATTTGTGTTGGGAGGCAGCATCACAGTTCCCGAAAATTTCTATCCCATAACTTAGAGAAGGTATGAGATAAGCCTTTGCAATCATAAGCCGCATATCAGCCGATAGGTACTTTTGTGTCATGTAGAGTTGCCTAAGTAGGCCGTATATTTTCCCGGATACCCTTATGACATGTGCACTCCATGAAAGGTTATTAGTCATAGTAATACCTAGATTAACAACTTGCTCAACATACTCAATACAGCCATTATTAACACGAAGACGAGGAAGATTTGGAATATTTGACGATCTTTTACTAACAATTAAACATTTACATTTTGACGGATTAAGGGAGAGTCCATTCATGTTTGCCCACTTACTAATATTTGACAATTCAAGGTTACATACATCTACACAGTCAAAAATTCTAGCAACAGGACAACTAACGTACATTTGAACATCGTCAGCATACATATGAAGATTACCATTGGTTAGTACACTCGGGAGGTCATTCACGTACATAGAAAACAGTAGTGGACCAAGAACAGAGCCTTGAGGTACACCTCGCGTCAAGATCATATCGTCAGATGGTCCAGTGTCAGTGATCACAGTTTGCGATCTGCCATATAAATATGACGAAATTAATCTAACAGCAGTGTCCGCGAATGAGAAGAACTTTGAAAGCTTCGTACATAAAATTTCGTGGTTAACCGTGTCAAAGGCTTTGCTAAAGTCCAAAAGAGTTAATAACGTCACATGTTTGTCATCAAGTTTTTGTCTAATGCTCTCAGTTATATCTATTATTGCAGTGGTACAGCTTCTAAATTGTCTAAAGCCAGATTGGTTATTGCACATTAGGGTGTTTTGTCTCAGAAACCAGTTGATCTGTTTGGCCAATAGTTGCTCAAAGACTTTCGATAAAAATGGCAGTATGGATATCGGCCTATATTCGCCGTTAGTTTTTGGGACAGGAACAATTTTGGCTGATTTCCAGCAGATAGGGAAACTAGACATAGTCAAAACAGAATTGAACACATATGTTATTTTGTCTAAAATCTTTGGCAATATAATTTTTATAAATTTGGGATGAACATTATCAAGCCCAACAGCACTAGATTTTACAGAAAGGACTGATTCTAGAACGTCACACGGCGAAACACACATAAAACTAAAGCTATTATCACAGATATTATTCACAGTCATGTCCAAATAAGGGTTAGTCAGTGTTTCAGGTACGTTTGATTGCAGGAATTTTCTGTTGAGATCATTGGGGTCTATGTCTAATTTGCTATTGTGATTTGATTTTCCGATTCCCAACATTTTAAGTTCTCTCCATTTTTGTTTCATTGTCATTGTACTGGTAAATTTTTGAGCGAAATAATTGCTCTTTGCATTGGCAATCATCAAGTTAGCAGTCATTCTCAAAGACTTAAATTCGTCATAGTAACTTGCAATTTTGTATCTTTTCCAGCGTCTATAGGCAATATCGCGTCGATTGATCATTGCAGCAATACCATTATTGAACCACAGATTATCTTTGGCTTTAAGAACCTTTTGCTTAAGTGGCACAAACCTTTCGTACATTGAGTCAATGCAGTACGTTAAATAATGCAGTTGGGAGTTAACGTCACTAAAATTGTACATAGGGTCCCAATCATAAGAATCCAATTCATGACTTAGAAGTTCAAAGTCAATGTTCCTAAAGTCCCTATAGAAAATTGTATGGTCAGTACAGTTAGGGTTAAATTCGTACGTCATATATATTAGGTCATGTTTTGAGAAAGCCGGCACTGAGACCTGGTCATAAAGAAGAATTCTGTCTGTATTGCTGACAAAGAAAACATCTAGAAGTGTATTTGAATTCGTCGTAAAATGTGTTGGTAGAGTCTTATTTACTAGTTGTAGTCCAAGACTTTCCATTTCAGAGTTTAATTGTCGTTCCCTTAGCATATTACTATTCAGGTCCCCAGTTATTAAAACGTCAGAGTATTCAGAACATAAAGAAGATAACTCGTCAATAAATTCACTACAGTCAATCGTTCTGTGTGGCCTGTAGACACATCCAATGAGCATATTCGATGAGTTTCCACGCCCATGTACTTCCAGGAAAAGATATTCTATTGAACTGCCAGAGGGTTGTTTGATTACTAATTTGGTTTTTAAAGTTTTCCTAATATAGATGGCAACCCCTCCAGCATGCCCCTCGCGGTCAGATCTATAAAGGTCATAACCTTCACATTCAACTAGGACATCACTAAGTTGAGGGACAAACCAAGTTTCACTAACACACACAACATCAACATTAGATTTAATAAACAAATACCGGAACTCATCAATTTTTTTGCATAAGCTTTGAGCGTTAATATGGCATATACGCAACCCTTCTTTTTGTTTTGCAAGAACCCTAATTATTGCACTACTACTCGCTCTGGATGCTGTTAAATCAAAGCTATTGAATTAAAATGATAAATTAAACACACACGCAATTTAAGAACTATAAAATAATTACAAAAGAATTCTATTAAACTGATCTCTCTTAAAGAACTTAGCCTATTAAACCTACATAAGAGACAAATACTAACGAAAAAGAGTTCCCTCTCTTAGTTGCTCTTCGGCATTTCCAGCAGACGAGATATCCAGAGATAGCGATGTATTAGCTTGCAGGTCGTGGAGCTTCTGCATGCTATCAATTCGCATTATCTCTGCGTCGGCTCCCTCGTATTGGGTGACATGGACGACCGCCCGTCGTGTAAACACCCAGTGCAGACGCTTAAGCTTTTTTAAGCGCATGGCCTCTTTGAAGATAGCATAGTTCTCTCTTGAAAGCTGCTCATTTAAGTAGAGGGCTGCCGGGGAATTGATACCCAAAAGTTTTAGGTTTAGTGGCTGCTTAAATTCTTTTCGGTATGCACCAGCCGCACGCAGCATCGCGGCCTTATCTCGCACGTGTTCAAATTTAATAATAATGGCCGGATCCACGGCTGGATTAGATCTCCGCGGCTTTATCCGGAAAATATCGCGGATCTTAGGCGGTGGCGTGAGTTTCAGGCTGAAGCATAGGGAGTGAATCAAAGTTTTTAAATTTTCGCCTTCACCATAGGGGACTCCGTGGACTCGCAAGTCTGCCGCGATGCAGGCGTTAGCCTGAGTAGCCACCTGAGCCTCCACTTCTCCGAGACGCCCACCCAAATGTTGAGCCTCCTGAGCAGAGGCCTCCAGCTGCAACAACCGCTTTTTCAGCTGCTCCACACCGGCGACTTCTCTTTCCAGCTGGAGCACCCTTTGAGTGAGTTTTTCAATGGTCTCACTCATCACATTTACCTTTTCGCCCAGCTCTTGTAGTATGCGGCTTTCGGATGTTTGAACCGCATCAGTTATTGTGGCTGATATACTGGCTGTTTGTTCGGCAAGCTTGCTCTCGATGATGTCCAGTAATTTAGGACACGGTGCATCAGAGGGTCGATCCTTCTTCAAGTCCGTGGACGTAGCTTCACGCTGGCGCTTGGGTGCTGGAGCCATTTGTTTGTGTGCGTGCGACGGATTATGCTTTGTCTTCTGTGTTCTTCCTTGCCCACTTCTGTTTGAGTGTTTTATGTTTCGTTTGCTTGTTACTTCGCGCGCAAACAAAAATTATTTTTGCACTTTTAATTACTTTTATAGTGTTTTTTTTAAAGTGTTTTCAATCGGTTCAGATAAAAAACTGAGTGATTTTTGGAATTAAATGTATTTTCCACCACAATAAGTGAGATTACAAAGGATTTTAATTATTTTCACGGAGCGGTCATAAAAATACGTCTTTCTCTGACTTTCTCTCTCATTTTGGCACGTAATATTATTTTTATATTATAATCTAAAGAAGTTAAGAGTAAAAATAATTAATAATTAATTTCTAAATATAATTAAACTAAACTCTTATCCACAAAAAAATGCTCCAGATATGAGCTTATTAAATTTAGCATAAAAATCATATAAAGATACATCGAACATGATCATCACATTTGGGATTTTCAAACCAAAGACACCGAGAGATGTAAATAAAAATAAAACTGATAATTGCTTTGCATAATTTATTTTTAACATAGCCGCAAGCATCTTTTGCGGTTTTTGTTATATTTCCCTTTTATTTGGCGAATCGGCACTGAGCTACCGATTTGACCAAGACTATGAATACTAATGAGTCGCGCCCAAATAAAAGTCATTCAAATTGATTATTTAGATGCTAATTGAGTGTGATCGAATCGATCACCTATTCAAATTATTCGGTGTCCAAGTTTTAACCCAAAACTGGACGAAATCCCCTTCCCTAAAGTCACAAAATTGCACAATTTCTAATGTCAACAATTGAGTTTATTCACAGAAGCAACCATAACAATCCGTTGGAGGGAAAACAACAAGTTCCCTAGTGGTGGTAGACATGGGCGAGAGGAGCAGCAACAGCAACGGTCTTGACCAGCGGCACCACTGGCGTGGCAATGGTCTTGACCACCGGGGTTGCGATGAAGGCCTTCTGGTGGATCTGGGTGTGGCTCTGGTGGGAGACGGCATGGGGCAGGGTCTTCAGAACGGGCACAGCAGCCACATGGTGGACAGCGGGAGCCACATAGGTCTGGTGGTGCACAACGGGAGCCACATGCTTGACGACGGGCACAATGGGGGCGGCAGCCACATGGTGGACAACGGGAGTCACATGCTCGACCACTGGAACAACAGGAGCCACAGTCTTGATCACTGGAACCACTGGAGCCACATGCTTGACGACAGGAGCGGCAGGAACCACAGTCTTGATCACTGGAACGGCAGGAACCACATGCTTCACCACGGGAGTGAGCGCAGCCTGGTTGTGGAACTGGGTGAAGCTCTGGTGGGAAGTGGCCACGGGAGAAGAGTGCACCACAGCGCCGACCTTGGCCACAACGGGGGTAGCCACGGCCACATGGTGCTCCTCAACGAAACCCGGAGCGGCGGCGGCAATGGTGGCCAGGGCACAGATAGCAATCTGTTGAGCAAATGATTAAATATAAGGATTTCAGATCCTCCTCAACCGTACTCCTTGGATACTCACGAAGCGGAACATGTTGAAGTTGGTGGTTTTTGGTGCTGTGAAGTCGACGGAGTGACTGATGCTGATTCGGAGTTGCGTCCGCGGCTTTATATGGCCAAAAAGATACATAGACTGTCCTTCAGCGAAAACCAACTAACGAGCAATTGGCAAACTCGTTTGCTTTGCATTGAACTTGAACTAAGCTCGAACCCTCATTAGACATATCAGCCACAATCGATTATGTTTAGGCCCGAAAAGGTCGCGAATCTCCAACAATGGCCCACAGATTGATACCCAAAACCGATCGAACGAACCTATTGTCAGACCCCAGCCCAGCAGTGAAGGTCTCGCCGTTTTATGTCAGCAAAAACGAGATGAAATGCATTTTATTCCACGAACAAAGTGGCCAAAGAGTGGCGAGCTATATAAAGATCCAACCGTTTGCCGGCGCGGATCCAGTCCGAAATCCGTACCCAGAGTTTAGATGCGAAAGCGATGGGGCCGATGTTTGGGAACTTCGTCTGGAAAATCGAGATCAGGTGTTACGGGGAATTTGGATTAGATCGGAATGCCACTTCTACTAGGCCAGGAACTCCATGAGATTCTCGTCATTGGAATCGATATCTGGGAGCATGAGCAATGGCGTCGTGGACTCGGAATTACGACAGGTAGAGTTACCTTTATCAATTTCCACAACCACGCCGTTCGCATCTCTCGGCTTGTGCAGAGTGCGTATTTCCCTGATCAGGCTCTCGTGGTATTCCAGCGCCGTCATATCAGCAGTCTCTTCCGCTGACCGCATGATGCTGAACATCATCGATGCGCTGGGCACACGTCCTTGGCGGCAACTAATCCTCGCCATTTCCGACATATTTTAAATAATTGTGGCTAAATTTCTTTTTTTTAAGGGAGGTGTATACAACACCATGAATCAGAGTGAAAGGACTCGGCCATATCAAATTCCTGAAGGAAGTGTCAAAGCCTACTAAATTAAAAAAGGAGTATGACTTTTGGGTGGGTTGCCAACAGGGGGGTTGTCTCTAGTCCCTTGTCTCTTAAATTATACTGTAAGATACAACATTTATAAATCTTTAGTGACAGAATGGAAGCGTTAATACAGTTATACAAGTAGACATTATTAATTTTATTTGCACAATTGAGAATTACTATTCAAAAGGATTAGGCGGCATTCCGGATCTGTTATAAAATAAGAGTTTCTTGGGAAATTTTTATATACAACTGTTATACTGTTACAAAATCGGAAATTTCTAGCACACCGCTCTTAAAAGCGGCTAAACAAATTGAAACAAAATCAACTTTCCACAAACTGTTATACTGTTATACAATCAAGCTTTATTCACACATTTAACTACTTAATACTACGCATATCCATTGCCTAACTGCCGGGCACATAAACCGGACTTAGATTTAGCAGCTCGTAGCCCGTACTGCCGCCCTCCTGCGTGGCCTTTGTATGGAAAGTCCGGTTAAGATTTGTGGGTTCCACATAGCCCAGTGCCCTACCCATAGGCGCGATGACAAAGCGCGTCTGAGTCTGCGATGAGCCCTGGTAGGAGACCACCGATGGAGCCGAATCGATGAGCAAACGTGGTGCCTCCGTTGCCGGCTTGGCCAACACCAAAACCAGCGAGATAATTAGCAGAAGAAGCTGAAAGGGGAAAATAATAAAGATTTAGTTAAGGCTAAAACTTGTTAATATAGGGTAGCTTCATATTCATTGGCAGCAATACCTTTGAAATGTCTTTAAAGATGTAAAAATATCTTAAACATTCAGGGAAAGTGAAAAAAATTACATGTAAATTTATTAATAAGAAGGTTAATATTACCAGATATAAGTTAACTATATTTAACATATGAATATTAATCTAAAGAATTAACTATTATTAAAGAGTGAAAAATTGTCATAACCATTTGAAAGATTAAAAATGAAAGTAAAGTGAATGTTCATTGGGAAAGTTAATCCATTCAAAGTTTAATACGTAAAAGGAATTTAGAAGAAAACTAAACTAGATCGAAAATAAATTCCTTCTAAGGTAAGTAATCCTTGGCCTAGTTATAAGCCTCTCTAGACCTCTCTACCTTCTGCCGCTTCCCCTGATATCGAGCCACCCTAACGGAGGAGCATCATCCACATCCCACTCACCAAATGCCGCATGGTAACGATCCAAGCCTAATGGGGCGATTACGGAGACAGTCAATATAATAGGCAATAAACACTGAGAACACCACAAACGAAGACTTCAACGACGACGAGCTGAGGTGGGCGGATCAAAAGTCGGTTGTAGTTGGAGCTGAGTTCCCCCTTCTGAGCAGCAAACTCACGGCGGAGCGAGTGGCAAAGTCAAACTGAAGTGCTGTGTGAATTGCTGTGCCATGAAATCGCGGTGGAGCAGTTGCTGGCCAGGACAGGGGCGGGCGTGGAGCATGCCAGGGGGGTGATCCACTCGATACACCCCCCAGCACGCAGCCCCTGAGAAAACAGCACGATCTGCGATCGAAGCGATGGAAACACGCGCGCGCAGTCGCGGTTATCTTGCAATTGTGGGAGTGTCTCAACTTGGACGCAGCTTTACGTAAAGAAATAAACCGAAAAAATAAAAAAAAGAACAACAAAAATCAAATATAAATAAATACCGAACGCCGCAAATATTGTAGTAATAGTTCGCAACAACAACTCAGCAGCAGTGATCGCAGCAACAAAACCTACAACATGCGACGGTACGGCGTCTGCGCAACTCGCTCTGAAGGTTGATCCACTCCACTTCGCACCTCCGTCGCTCCAACCGCAGCGACTTGTAAGCTTGGGCATAATTTATATGTACTTATATGCCGATATACTCTATCAGGAGGAATTTACATTCAATCATACATTTATCCCGAACAAATAGAGGGATTTATTGGGATTAGGTGTGGGTAGTCAGCATTCAAAATTGTTCGTGTAGTTTGTATTTAATATTTTTTAAGGGTATTCTTCTGGCATAATTACTATCAATGGTGATTAATATCTCTGAATCTTTCTCCTAGACTACAGAGTAAAGGAATCACTAAAAATTGCTTGTCCAGGTCATTGCTAAACCAAAACGTCATAGGTTTCCAAGCCCCTTTAAGAACATATTTTAAATATTATATCAACCCTATAATAATACATTTAGCCCTCGTTCTCTCTACTAAAGAAATAATTAATTTAAAACCTCTTAATATCATTAATCTTCTCACCAAAATGTATTTTAATTCGTTTTACAGAGTAGGGTATCCCCAAGCTTCGATTCTAGGCAAATATTTATTTTTGACGTTTCAATAATTTCAAAAAAAAAAACAATAAATAAATAAAACTGCCATCGTGGCTTCTTACAGTCTCTCCGGCTCTCCGATGTTGAGTCAGCCGGCCGATCGGCGGCCGTATGATTCGGTGATTAGCCGGAGGCGCGTAATGGAAGCTCTAATGGAAGTGCACACGGCCCCTGAGAGGCCGTCGGATTGAAGTACTTTTTGATTAATTAATTAGCTGCAAGACTGGGCGACCTCTTGGTCAAGGAGTCCTCGTGGACTGGGGCTATAAATGGCAGCGGCACACGTCTAACGGTAATTAGTTGCCCACTCAAGTGACCATCATGCACATCGCCGTGGGTAATCTCCGGGGCAGTGCCAAAGTGCTTCTACTAATTCCCAATCTCTATGCCATTACCCACAGGTTGTTTGTCTCCTAATCACCTTGGGCCTCGACCACAGCCGGGCAGCCACAACAATCCTGCATGGCAACGGACCGGATTCCAGTGCCATTTCCCACCAGAGTTTTACTCGATTGTCGTCAGCGCAGCCTCTAATCCTCCAGCATCAAGAGCAGCAGCAGCATCATCAGCTGGTTGTTCCTGCTCCGAGGATTGTCAACAGCCACCATAGAGCCATTGGGGAGCAGCAGCAGGTTGAGCGGTTCTCCCAAGGAGATGAAGAGCTTCAACTGGCACCTATCTCCCGCCAGACACCTGCCCATCTCACATACTCTGCCCGTCCGGTGGTCCATCAGATGCTGCCCCGGATTAAGCCTGTGAGAAACATCAGCTTTGCCTCGCTAATCCCGGGACCTCGTAGCCTGGCCACCCATCAGAATCTGTCACCAGTTTAGAGTGGCAAAGCAATCTATGGAGTAGCTACCTTTAGGAATCAGAAAACATCGCAAAATACTAGTTTTTTAATACACTTTTTGTTAATTTAGTTTTTTAAAGCAGGGCAATAAAAATTATATTTAATTAATTAATTGTTCCCAAGTTTCTAAACATAAATCTTAAGCTCTAACATGTAGACACCTGAGTTTAGCTTGTCAACATTTTCGTCTACGCAAATTCCGTTTATTATCATTAATTTTTTATATTCACCATTATTTTTTATAAAAAAAATTCATGAAAATTTAAGAAAAAAGGAAGACCAAATTCTGAGTCAACCAGAAAAGGAATTCCCAACCAGAGAAGGTCACAAGGAAGACACCGAGTAAGAGGTGTACGTTAGGGGGCAATGAATGAACGGTCTATTTTGAAGCAGCTCTCCAATCACCTAATCTTCCGCATCCTGCACTTCTCCCTGATCTCCCAGCAACTGCGGGACGAGCTGGGAGTTCGTGCAGGGGCTGGTGGGATCAGGTCAAAGGGGCGCTTCTCCAAGGCGCTGGAGTGGCAGCCCTTCGCTCTGTGGCTGTCCAATATCCTGTTGAACTACGCCGGCGACATCATGGGCAATCTGTTGCTGGGCCTTCTGCCGCTGGAACCGCTCTGCAATGTCTCTGATGTCCTGCTCAGTTCGTTTATCTGGTGAGATGATTCTTGTTATGAAGTAAATTTCACAGAAATAGGACAAGACAATTCTCCTCTTAAGCAGGTACTGCATATTTTACTGCCCTCTTGACCTAGGCCATAAGTTGGCCAGCTCTATAGGCTTTCGCATCCTGGCCACCACCATGTCCACCATCAGTCAACTTCAGCTCATCGATCGGGGCGTTCAACAGGCCGGTCAGGTGTACAACAACGCCATCATTCCTATGCTAATTGTAGGCACAGTCATGGGTAGTGGAGCAGAGGTCCTGAAGCCGATAGCTGGAATCCTAATCAACAGGTGCCAGAAGAACCAGTTAGCCTACATAAAGATGAGCAGGTGAGTGGGAAAATGGAATTTCCACTGACAACTATTTTTAATTTTTCCTGTAACTAGCAACACCAAGCTGGCCCTGTTCCTTTCCATTCTCTTTGTGCTGGAAATCCAAAAAAGTCCCCTGGTGCTAGGCCTCACTCGTCATCAGCTGCTGGTTTACTCGCTGGTGATGACCATCACCTTCAAGTTCCTGTCGCTGGTCTACCGCACGGAGCATTACATCTGGCTTATGGAGCACCGTCTGTGTTACACCTTTTTCGGGGGCCTTTCGAGGGACTTGAACAAGTTCTTCAAACACAAGCAAAAAGCCCATATCCATCGAGGGTGGATGCACTCGGAATATGATTGAAGCTGTCACTTGGATTGCGCAATCCGCCCAACCCTTCAAATCCCCTCCAGAACACAGGGTGTGGGTGGTTGGGCGACGAGGTAAGCGGCTTAGGTTACCTCCTCGCCCAGCCAACCGATGGAGGAACGGCGGCAGATGCCTCGCTTGATCGGGTTACGTATGCTAATCAGCTTAGAAGCATCCGCGGGAATGGACAGAGCAGGGCAGAACACTATAGCAGTGGAACGCTGGTGCCGAGTGCCGGGTTACGGCCACGGGTTAGTGGATGCCACAACGCGAGTCTGTTAGCTTCCAGATGTACTGTGAAATTTCTGTTTATGAATAAATCCCTCTATTAATATAATATAATAATAGGCGTTGAAAGAAAGCATTAAAGGTGTGCAATTTTTTACAGCAAATTCAAATGTAAATCTAATCTTTTTTTATAATTTAACATCTCTATCCAAAAGCAACCCCAGACTTTCATTGTACTTTAAAGGGGAAGATCATAGAGTTCCAAGTATTAAACGAAAGAATTAAAGGTCCGGTTTTTCTTTTACAGAAAATGTAAACTTAAATTTTGTTATTAGAATCTCTTTTAAACAGCAACCCCTGACTTATATTTTAGTTTCCACTAAGTTTCAAGTAACTCGCTCATCGAAATGTCAGCCAAACGAAATGTAAGTCCTCAAAAAAACCAAAAATACAAGGACAAGACCAAGCGGAATCCCCCTGACATAAAACCCATTCTCTGTCCGGACATTGTCAAGCCCAAGAAGGAAAAGAAGTTAGAGGAAGGGGAAGTTCTGGATTGTCAACGACCCAAAAGCTACACCTCTCCGGCTGAGAAGCGGCAGTATCTGGAGAAGGAGGTGGTGCCCATCCTAATGGAGGGCATGTTAGGACTGTCACGTGAGATGCCACGCGATCCCATCGGCTATTTGGAGAAGTTCTGGCTCCAGAAAAAGCAGAAGTGTGACATCGATCTGCCACAGAATATACTCTGATCGATGTCTAGTGCAGTTCCAATCAAATTTCAAATTACAGAATGATTAAATAAATGTTTATGACGCGGTGTTAGATTCAGTTAGCGATTCATTTCCCTAGTCAGTGAGGCGAAGAGAGTGGATCTAGGTCCAGGGGCTATAAAAGCCGATGCCTTAATCTGGGCCAGCATCATTCATTCGTTAGCTTACGGATTTTGAGGAAGTCTATTATTATGTCTAGATTGGTGAGGCTAATCCTTGAATATTTCAAGGATAACTACTATAAAGTTGACTCCCTTCCAGTGCCTGTCCGTCTTGGCCTTTGTGCTTGTCCTGGCTGGAACCACCCAGGCGGCCAGCTTGGAGTGGCCCTCGAACCTGCTTGCTCTCAGCACAGGAAAGTCCTCCCAACTGCTGCCCATTGCCAGCGAGGATTCCGTCGAGTTGTCCGAGAGCGGCACCGGAGCAATTATCTCGTCTGCTGGCCAGCAGCAGCCGGAGGAGCAGTCCCAGGAGGAGGAGGAGGAGGAAGAGCCACTGTCTGTCATCGGCACCTCGGATGCCATCGATTCACGCCTGGTGTCCTCCGGCATTCCCATCTCCGTTCCTCTTCCCCTGATCCTGGCTGCCCGCAATGGACTGCGAACGGTGCTGACCATCCAGGAGCCGGCTGTGGCCAAGGTGGGTGAGGTGGTGCAGCATGTGCCCACTGCCGTCTCCCATCAGAGCCAGACGGTGGTGCACGACCACAAGCGATTGGTCACTCCCATTGTAGCTCCGGCCGTGCGCACCACCCAAGTGGTTCGCCAGCAGCCGCCGCTTGTGTGGACCGTGGCCTCCGATCCTCGCCTGGTTCTGATCCGCAACTAAGGATGGCTGGAAGCCAAAGATCAACAAGATGAACTCGCCAAATCTACGATACGCTTCGTCTTTGCCTAATTCTATTTCTAATTTTCTTATTTTGGACTTGCTAACCCACAAAACTCTGTCTCTACGCTGTCTTCTGTCTTCTTTCTTCTGCCATTTTCTGTAGAATTCTTCTTCTGTAGTGTGCTTTTAATAAAGATTTCGCATTTGCACTTAATGGGGTTTTAATTCAAATGGAATATTTAAATTTAATAAGGGATTAAAGAGTTAAGATTCTACTTCTAAAATTCCTTTACTACTTTGGTTAACATACAGTCTTTCTTTTTTAATTTTCTGCCAATAAGTGACCCCTCTTTTACATCTTACATACTTGCCAGATTGTGTAAAATTATTGTCCAGCATTTTGCATTTTGCACTTCTTTGGCTTGAATTCTTCGGGCGTTGACGCTGCGACAGGAAATCAATAAAGTTAACGCACAGTCCCTGCCCACGAACACAATAAATATGCCATCTCCACCCCGCGACTCCCACTGAACACTCCGATTGTGTGCAATCAAGATCTCAGGAGGATTAGGCAGACGCAGGGCCTGGGTTAACGCCCAAGTCTCTTCTCATGTTCAAGGGCTCTGGGGCCACTCATTTAGAATGGTTGGTCCATTCTCCAATCTGGCGTTCTTTTGCTGGACTATAAAAGCTGAAGATTGTCTGGCCCACAGACAACAGTCAACTGAAGTGTACTGAGCCAAGAAGATGTCACAAAGAATGGTGAGTTTAAAAAGAAACTTAATAAACAAACAAAGAAATTTATAAAATCAATCAGAGCTCTGCACAGGAGCTTCTTAAATAAAATAAACAAAAATTAATTAAAATTACCTGTCCTTATTACAGAATATTTCTTTCTTCCTCCTCCTTTTCTGCCTTTTGGCATTGGGACAAGCTGAGCTGCGGCTGTACCATCCTTTGCTGACCCTGCATCAGCAGCCCACTCTGGCGAAGGTGGGTCATCTGGTAGATCATGTTCCCACTGCTGTTTCCCACCAGAGCTCCACCGTTGTCCACCGAAGTGTTCCTAGGATTACGCCACTGCTGGCCCCTGCCCTGAGGACCACCTATCTCCACTATCCTAGCTGGAGTTATCCACTGTACGAGGGAGCCAACACTCTGTACAGAAAGTAAAGCTCTGCTCAGCAGGAATCTCTAAAATGAAGTTTATTTAGCTTCAGATTTTGAAGATGAACAGCAAAATAACCTTAAATTGGACTCAAATCAAATTGAAACACATCTTTAAATTGTGTAATATTCAGTTGTTATTCAGAAAAGAAAATAAATTCAAGAACCTCCGAGAGACTTGCATTTGGGATTAACGAGGAATGGTTTACTTGTAGCCGCCCTCCTTTAGGTTTAATACCGATTTCCCAAAAGGGAGACGACTGCCAATTAGATTTCGCGCAACGCTGCACTTCTGATTGAGTGTTGGGTGGCTGGATACGAGTATGATCCGACTGACGTCACCAGATATGCAAACAAACGCACGAAATCGGCATTGCTTTGGTATCCAGTATTTGAGGGGGGTTTGTTTTATTGGTTTATTGAATATTACCAACAAGGCCGATTGGTTTTGCAAAGTGATTTAAAAATACAATTTGGTGCACCTTCAAGTGAAGTTTAACATTTAAAATCCATTTAAAATAAGGCCAAAATTAAGGCTTAAAAAATCTTACAAGTTAAGTAAGAAATTGACTAACAATTAGGATAAGTTCCACCTTATTTATGAAATATATTTTTATTTATTAATAGATTATAAATAAATTAATAGAAGACTGTATCCATTCAATTTTACTTCTTCTTTCCAAGTTTAATAATTGACTAATGATGCCTTTAAAATGAAATAAGCTACTTTAAAAAATATAAAAATCATATGAGTTAAAATAAATAAATTAAACAAATTATATTAAGCGGTACTTTAAGACCCAAATGCACAAAAACTTGGTCTATTGTCAGGGGCAGCGGTGCAAGGATGATTGACATGTCGTACGCAAATGTTTCACCATTATTTCGTGGGCCCACAGGCCGTTGTTCTCCATAAAAATTCCAGGAATGCCAGCTTTTTCCATAGGAATGACCTCGGGTCAGTAGCCTAAAACCTGTGTAGCTCCTATCCCCAGAAGAACCAAGAATGTGAGATGTATGAACAGAAGCAGGACTTTAACCCAAGGGTATGACATTGCCTGGGCTTCGTCTCCCATCAAAATATTACAAAAAAAAATATAAGATAAGTCGATGGACGCAACAATTGGAAGATAATGGAGCAGCCTAGCGAAAAGTTTCAAATGACACAATGCAACTTTCTGAAACTGAAACCTTGAACCCCGCGAAAGGGCCAAAGGTTAAGTCCCGCTGGAGTTGAGTCCAACGGCGGTTATGCAATCGACTGAGCATTGATGCCACTTAAGCGGTCACAAAATGACGCAGAAAACTCAGCTTATTGGGTCCTGAATGGGTTACAATTCTCCTGGATCGAATTGCACAAGACTGCATTCGCAGTAGCCGGCGGCTGCATTAAGGTTAAAGCATCAAGGCTTTGGTCAGGACAACCCATCGATTGCCGTACAATTGCATTGTCTTTGCCATGCATTCAATACCTGTCATTCGCAGGAAGCCCAGCTATTCCAGTGATGCAATGCCATAGAGGCGTAGTTTCCTCTTCTCCACTCCCCATCATCATCGTTATCATCATCACTATTGGATGTGTGTGTTTCTGGGTGTTTACAGCAGCCTTTTGGGCTCACACCACTTAAAGCTGAACGGCCTCCCGAAAGGCTGCTTCGATGAATCGGACAATGCACTATGGGGTTTTTGACCACTTTATGTGGCATTTAATCATTTTTTAAAAGTGCTCTAATTTAAAAAAAATTACTGGGAATGTATTAACAGAACATCAAACTGTTATGCCTCATACTCAAAATGTTAATACTTAACAGCATATGTTAGCATAACAGCTGCAAAGTCAGCTGTTGCATCCGAAAGCGCGTCTGCTAAGTTTGCCATTTTAACGAAGTGATCTTTGAAATTAAACTATTCGTGTTAGACACCATTTGTAAAGGAAAAAACTAATGGACATTGATTTCACAGGTATTAACTACATGTTAAATGCATTAACTGTTTAACTTGTGCGTGTTTATACTGACATTTTGTCATTTTATAAATGCACCTTAAGCTGAATTTTGAAAAACAAATTTCAACTTTGAGAAGAGTTTTGAATTAGAAGTTCGCATTAGTTTTTAATGCGTCCAAGTGTATGTTGTAGCGTTGTCAATTCTGAGCAAAAATCAGTTAGTCTTATTGTGCACTTTTCCGCACTTTTGGTGCAATTTGAATTTTTCTTGGATAACCTCACTGTTTTCAACGCCAATTTGGTTGCTGTTTGTATGGAAAAACACTGAATTCCGGTTTTGTGGTTATTTTAGTTCCTAGGGAAAGCGTTGTCCGATTTAGTTCAAAATTGCTATATCGTGTTAAAATAGAAACAAATATAAGCTCCTTAAATTTCATTAATCTTATCTTTACTTTTACCCGATCGTTCCTATGGGAGCTATAGGATATAGTTTCCTGATCCGAACGATTTTCATACTATATGTGCCTAGGATCAAATAATGATGATTGGTAAAGTTTCATGTCGATATCTCCAAAACTGACCGAGTTATTAATTAATTCCACAAAAACTGGTCAAAAACCCCATAGTGCAATGAGAGGCCCCCATCTTGGCCCCGTCTCCAATTGAGTTCGGTTCTCCTCCCTCCTAGGGCTCTCGGGTTCATTGCATCTCCCTGAGTCCGGGTCCGGGTCTGGGACTCTGATTGGGGGTTTTCTGGCCACTCTCAATTGGCCCCGGCCCAGTGGGTGACCTGGATGGCTCGACTGCTGGGTAATCGGTTTGTTTGTCTACCACAAACGCCATTTGAATGCATCGTTATGCTGTCATCTTGGTGCCCCAACCTACCGAGAGAGACTTCTATCGATGGGTGGTCCCCCCAGTAAATTTAATAACTTAAATCTGGAAGAAAAAGCAGGAGAATTTATTCTGTTTCAGTGCTGGCAATTTGTCCTTGGTTTATAGTTTATATTTGACAAAGAGAAAATATAGATACATATATGTAAAAAAGGACTTTCTTAAAAATTTGTATTTCATTTAAATGACAAAATATGAAGCAGACTATTTTATACATTTTGAATTAAAATGATTTTGCAGAGAATGCTCTTATATATATTGTTTAAAATAAATAATAAATTATTAGTTTGTTAACATTTTTCAATATATTTTTTTTACTTTTTTAAAAATTAAAAGGAAAAATTCATCACAGATAACTCAATAAAATAAGCGAATGAAAAGAAATCTAAAAACAATATTACAAAACGAAATATATATCATTAAATTACACCTCCTACAAATATAAAAAAAAATATTTACAAATAAAATTTTAGACACATCCTTAACCTTATTCATTTCCCTGTATAATTAAATATCTTTTCCTAAAAATTGGCTCTTGGCAGCACTGTTAAAATCAAAAGACAGACCCACTTAGCATAAGTGGCTACCACACAAAATTGGCCAAGAAGTTCCCCAAGTTTTCCCAGAATCCAAGCCCGAAAAATATTAAATATTTGATGTAATCCAGAAGTTTCTGCTTAAAACGCCATTATTAACCAAAAAACATACATCAAACAAACTTTATGGAAGAGGCTTTCACTTAAAGCCAACTTGGGGGAGGGAGAACGGAAGTTTTGCGGCATATAAAACCCCCGCCCCATTTTTCCGGTGTGGCAAGCAGTGGTTTTCAAATTAATTTACAAATGCTCAACGCGGCGCGTAGGTAAATCTGTCTGGGCTCAAAGAGATGAAGACAATAAGCCGTGTTAAATGAGCCCAGGTAGTGTAAGAGCAGTGAAAGGGCATTTTGATGCGGGTGAAATAATTCGGGTTATTATGTAATAACCAGGGGGAAACAGCTGCTGTCTGCTCGAGACATGACTCACTTATCTCGGCCCTCCTTAAAAACTAATTTGCCACTTGCTACCCTATGGGTGAACGACCTTGAGACTATACTATGATGATTTCAACAAATAAAACGCATCGATTTTATTACAGGCAATTTCGCAAAAAACAAAACGAAGCGACAACGAAAACAAAAGCGAAAAACTCATTCAAATGCCCAACGCATAAGCGCGGTTCGAATATAAACGAATAAATCAAATCGACTCTGGAGTACTCGTATGAATCATATGAGTCCCAAGCTGCCGCTGCACACGAGTGCATTGTTGTTACTATTATTATTATTACTATTATTATGTAAGCCTCAAGCAAAGCCAGCCATGCGGGGCTATAGCCCCACCACAAACACAAACTCGTCTGGGGTTTCCCCAAGGCCCACCAAAAAGCGGTTAAAGCCAATTGAGCCGGCAAACAGTCAAGAATTGAATAGGCCAACACACAGACAGCGAGACCGAAAACTTCATTGCAATTGGGTTTTCTTGGGATTTTCCCAGTGTTGGCGAATTTTCGGGCAAATCCATGGCACAGTTGCGGTTGCATTCAAGAGGCGGAATGCAGTGGCAGACACAAAGGAGGATATAAATGGATAATGGAGGATAAAATGGAAGGAATTGTATAACCAAAGTGTGGCTTGAATTTTCCCTAAATTAACAAATGTTTGGGAAAATAACTCTATTAAGTTTGGCTGTTAAGTTTTAAGAAAAGCCTTTCTTACGGGATGAATTATAAACGATATACCAACTTTTTTCTGAAGAGTCGAAACTATATTTATAAAACAATAAATTAACCAAGAATAAATTTTTAATAAATGTTTCAAACAGTTTTGACACATCTACATAAGTTATTCTTTTTAAATCATTTTGAATAGTTAAAAAATCAAACAAATCTTTCACAACAATTTTAACTTATTTTCATTCTCTGAAACCTAAATTAAAACTTTTATTGAACTAAATTAAATTATCCAAAATTAAGCTCTTTAAGCATATCCAACACATAATCGAGTTAAACTTGGCTTAAAGAGATTGCCAAATTGCTTTTGGCCAAACGGTGCTGCGTGTGGGTGGAAGACCTCAACTTGTTGAGCAATTGACACAAATCTAAGCCGGGGAGTCGCCAGTCCAACCTTGAGCCAGTGACAATTTTTATTTTTTTTCTTTTAGGTTCGAAGACTTTTTTCGCTTTGGACTTGAACTGCTGCCAGGTGCCGTGTGTAAGAAAGGTAGTGTGTAAAGGCATGTGAGCTTCGCCCAGAGGAAGCTAGCCAAGTGGAGCAAACACGATTCCCACACAAATCCATTTGGGCAAACAATTAACAAGTTGGCCATAATTAACATATACCATGTTGTAATATGCCAAAAAAGTGTGCAAAGTTGGAGCTTACCATAAATAGAAGCGAGTATCTGGATATCTCGATTGAAGTCCCAATAGCGAGCCCCTGAACCTGTAACCCCATCCGGATTTCACACTCTCCACGGGCTGGCATTAGCTGTCGCCAGCCGAGGTCCAAGTTCAAGTTCAGTTCATCAGCTTCAGCTACTGTTGGGATTTACCAATAATAGCTGAACTTCAGTCAACTGACAAAATTGCTTTTAGCAGGAAAATAGTTTTGAGGGGAAGAAAGACGAAGAAAATAATACTCTTTGAGAGCTTTAGAAATTTAAATATATTTATTTTATATTTTGTTTTTTATATTTAGTAAGAAAGCTGTTCAAGAAAATATTTAATAATTTAATAAATAATAATAGATATACGTGGAAATTATTTTGCTATTTATTTTATTATTATTACCTAGAAATTAAATTATTATTACCTATAAATCATGAATATTCAATGGACCAGTTCTAGTACACATTTTAGGACAAATGATTCTGTGAGCTTTCGCTTGGAAATTAACGCAGTATTAACAGAGTAAAATTTCAATCTATGAGGAATTTTTGGCAGTCAGATCTGGAAGAGAGATACATACATATATGTACATACATATAGCAAAAATGTCGAATATCGAAAAATTCCCATGTCATCGAATAAGTAAATATACTCAAAACATAAAGAGCAAACTCAAACTATCGTTAGCGGAATTAAAAAAACGATGCGAATCAGGTTCGACGCACCTCCTTCAAATAATACTCGAAAAGCCCAAAGGCCTCCCAATAACTCCGATGAGTCATAAAAAACCCGATGGTCAAAAACTACGACACTGCCGTCGTCGATTGATAAAACTCCACGAATTAATCATGAACATACAAATAACCGAAAGGTGTTTGCCAAACAGCCAACAATAACAACTCGAGTAAATCACTGTGATTAGCATAATTTCCGAAGATCTGTTCATTATCAACTTTCTTGGAAGTCGAGAGTGTTTAACATAAAACGCCACTTAAGTGGGGGGAGAGGAGCTATCGAACCAAGGTCAGTAACACACAAATCGAAGCCACTGGATCCGCTGGAACCCAACGAGAGTCACTCGAACAACACTGACCACACACAACACGGGCTAAATAATGATCGTGATTATCAGCGGCGGCACGCGAACGTGATCATCGTGAATAAGTGTTAGGGGGGAATGTCTCTAATTTTTATGAACTTCGGGTAATTCCGCTTAGCACTCTTGATTCACAATGAGCCAGGCTTTTGGCTGAAGCGAAAATAAAAATAAAACAAACCACCAACCGACCGACGGCTGATGACGTTTACATTGACCATGGGTTAAAAACCAGACGATATTAACCGAAATGCACCAGTAACGAGGGGGGACAGCTAAAGACGAATGTATGCCAAAAGATCCGGTTTGAGGCAATGCCCAATTTTATCCCTTTCATGACGTTTTTATTTCTTTATTTTTCAGCGGCTTTGCTCCTCTCTGACCCAATTCATAATTGCGGAATTGCATAATCCCGGTTTCTCAAGCAACGCGCCTTTCCGGGAAAGCTCTCTGTTTTGGTTATTCAAAATTTTTATTTTTGGTCAAAGCCCCCGCCTGAAAACAACAAACTAATTTGGACATTTACACATAAACACTAATTTTTGAATGGGGAAATATTTGTTTAATGACTCGCAGTGATAGCTGCAGGGTGCGTTTAAAAATGATAACGGAGAGACTTTTCCGGCTATAGTCTACCTTTGGTGACCTCCAGTAGTTAGCAGAATCGGAGATTTGAGAAAAAACCCAAACCGAGAAGTTATTACCCAAAAAAATCCAAAGCCAACGGTGAGAGAAGGAGAGGTTGCCAAACATTGTCGCTGCCGCTTTTGTGCCTTTTGTTTTGGGCCCCCGATTCGCAAAACTTATACCTACGTCCGTAGACAGAGAGATAGAGATGGCTATAGCCTTTCGGAAAGAGACGGGGAAACGTTGGAGCTTGCTGCGCCTGCGCAGCTTTTGTATAAAATGTGCGCGCCGAACGAAAGCGAAATCAGTCAACGATCTGCAGACAAACGAGAGGCACACATTCAGTGCAGAAAGTGAGTGAAGTGAAAGGATATATCCATACAGACTCTGCAACTTGCATAAGGATTATCGAAAAGAAACTGAAACAACCAATTTGGATTAATTTTATTTAAATCACAAAAGAGGTGAGTAGTGAGTGAAGTGAACTCCAGTGAACCGCAACCCGCACACTAATTACAATTAGTTGCGTTTCAAATTATCAGAGCTTGCAAATAACTGTCGACGGGGTTTTTCCTGTGCTCTCGTTGCGAGTAAAACCGAAAAAGATCATACTCTCTCCCTCCCGCTCAGAGCAAGGGAGTTTTGCTGTCTTGATTTCGGTTTTTTGTTGAACGCTTTTCGTTGAACTCTTTTTACTTCGGCCTTTCAATGAGCCGTGCGTAAAGAGCGGGACGAGAAACGTTCGCACACAGAGAGCCAGCCAAAGACCAAGGGACCGAACAGCTCAGCGCGAACGGTCTTCACCTTTGTTTGTTTTTTTTTTTTTTATTTATTTATTTTTGTGAACAAGTGTCCATATAACAAAATGCTATTAAAAATAAAAGAAAAGTTTTAGACAATGTTGTTTTTAAATCGCAACTAAACGTTTAAGGATTTGCTTGCCTATGCGTGTGAATGTATTCCAATACATACGCAAAAGACTTTTGTTCACTGACCACGGTTCATGGGACAACCGAAACAAAGCAGAATAGAAAAAAACGAGTTCGCTCTGAACGCGCGCGAGCTCATTCCAAGAACTCATGAACGGGTGCTCTCTGAGTCTTTTCGTAAAGAGTGAGAGAGAGACAGATATATGCAGACAACTAGAAACGGTCGACAGTTTTTTGCAAGCTCTGCAAATTATGGATACTACATAATATATAATATAACAGAGTAGTGGTCAAGAGCAGACACCCCTCCTTTTCTCCTCCGCGATCATAAAGCCAATTGAAAAGGCAAAACTTTCACTGCGAAAACAAAAGAAAAACTTTAATTTTCCACACCCAGCGATCAGCGTTTAGCATCGCTTACGATCATTTCTCGCCAAAGAAAACGCCAGGCAAACGAACAAAATGCTTGCCGGCAATTTGCAATGCAACGCTGCACACAACTTCCGCTCGAAAAGCAGGGCTCAAAGACTTGAGCATTTTGCAGTTTCAAGATTCATTTACATAACATGAAGATACATTTGGGAAATACTCGAAAAAATACATTTTAGGAAAGTTTTACAATAATAAAAGGGAAGATTTTGAGATCTGGAAACTAAATTGTTATCTAAAGAAATAAGAAAGATTTTGTTAAAAAATTAAAGTGGTTCGAAAATTATCAGTACTCAAAAATTGAAAGTCTTTGAAAATTAACATTAGCAGGAAGTAACTGAAATCTGTGAAGATTTTAAGTTGACATATAGAAATTAAAAGCTGTTAAGATTTGAAGTTAACAGAGGAAAATTCGAATCAAATTTTTGTTTAGTCAACCGAGTTTTTAAGGCTCGAATCTCTAAGGAATTTTACTATATTATTTATCTCTCAAAGATGAGGAAAAATTTTAAAATAATTAAAGCTTTTAAGGGTTAATTTTAAATGAAGAAAAATTGAAAAACAAACCCTTTAAGTTAGATCATAAAACCAGGTTTTTATTAAAGTGTAGCGATCTTTGGACTAAATCCGCCCCCGCTACCAACCCATACGATCCCAACTCCGGTGACATAACTGCAATGCAAACGAGCATAAAAAGCGCAGAAAAGCAGAAAAGAAAAGTGAGTTTTATTTTTAAACAAGAAAAGATACACGAAGCGGAAAGCGGCTGTCAAGGCGAGAGATCAACTTGAGCGATGGTCGCCATAGCCCGATTGTAGTCCGCGTAGGCTTGCCAAATCCAAAGGAAAATTACCTCATAAATTACAGGGAGTTTGGCGAGAGACCTCTCCTTCTCTCTCCTTCCCGCATTTTGAATGAAAAGTAACGTACAAAATCAAGCAATTAAGTGCGACGGTCTGCGACCTCCAACGAAAGTAAAAGTCTTATACGGAGGCACCGCGTCTGAGTCACGGTGAAGATTTCGTGATGCGGACCGGTTTCTCGGCTTCGTTATGGATTGGTTAAGCCAAAGATGGCAAGAGGGATAGGTGGATAGGTGGAGAAATGTAAACTGGCACAATGACTCTCGGGGTAATGGTGTCAAGCTTGGCCGTTGTTATGACATAACCGATCATGATCACGACTAAAAGTCATTTATTTAATTTTATTTCCACTCGAAACCAAATGCGAAAAAAATATGAAACATTTTATGTTGTTAAAAAAAATCAATTAAAATATGTAATATTTATTTAAAATTATAGAAAATAGCTCTAATCAATCATTATCTTTTCTGATTATCACAGATCTCCACTATGAGAATAAGAGCAAGCCTGTTGGCAGTTGTCCTGCTGGCCACCGCCTCCCTGGCCGAGGATTCGAGCTGGGGCAACGAATGGGCGCCCATGGAGGATGCCAAGCCCAGCCGCCGATCGGTGGACACCAAGCCCGCCGACACAGCCGACATCCAAGGACGTTACCTGGTCCACGAGTCCATCCAGAGCAACAGCACTAGCAGCCAGATCGATGAGGTCATCGAGCAGCTCATCAACTCCCGACGTGAGGGACGCAATCTTGGCGAGTACGACGCCGTCTATGCCGATGGCAACATCGATCAGGCTCTGCAGCAGGGAAATGATCTGCAAGCCCGCAACCTCATCCGGGACAAGCTCTGCGGTCTGGGTCTGATGAGCTGCGATGTGGAGGAGAAGCGTCCCTTCTACTCCACCATCTATGCCCAGGGTCCGCCGCCGCCATCTGGTTTCGGAGGAGGTCCTTATGGCCCTGCCAAGCCCATGCCCCCACCAAGTTACTTCAGCGGTCGCCCGCCCATGGGTGGTCCTCCTGGCCCCTTGAACTCCTTCGGACCTCCACCCAGCTCCCTGAACTCCTTTGGACCGCCCCGCAAGGTTGGCTATGAGGGACCCTACAAGCCAATGTCTGGACCTTACCGCCCCACCGGACCCGGTGGCTACCTGGAGCATCCTCCACCGTCCGCCATTGATGGCAGCTCTGATGGAATCACCTACACAAAGCCACCACCCGGTGCTCTGATCTACGACAGCAAGCCACCAGGACCGATCTATACTGGAGGTCCATCGGTGGGTGCCGGACCCGTTTTCACTGGTGCTTCCAACGGAGTTCCTCCTTACAACTTTGAGAATCCCGAGGGTGGCATTCAGGGTGCCAGCTCCGCTCCCAATGGCTTCTACTCCCAGCAGTCTTCCGCCTCCTCGTCGTCGGCCACTTCCTCCAGCACCAAGGTGGTGGTGGGAGCACCCCTCGATGCCGGACTCCAGCAGCATGTGCATCACCACTACCACCACGTTGAGGGTGGCGAGGGAGCCAAGGTGCCCAGCGTGCCTATTCCCATCGGAGCTGGCCAGACCATCAACACGGACTTCAGTGCCTTGGCCCAGTCCTCGGCCACCTACACGCCCTCGATCCAGAGTTCTTCCGGATCCAGCTACTCCCAGTCGAACGCCTTCAACGCCGGATTCAATGGTGCCTCTCAGGGCGGACTTCTCTCGCAGAACGGCTTCGGCCAGAAACCCAGTGATCTGTACAAGCCCAACTCCGGGGATCTCTACAAGCCGAACTCTGGTGATCTGTACAAACCAAACTCTGGCCTGGGCAGCTTCGGCAGCAGCGGATCGGGCGGCTTCAGTGGATCGCCCAGCTCCAGCTACCACAGCCAAAACCCGGATTACTACAAGAAGGAGTTGCAGGGTGGAGCTTCCAACCAGTACAATGGCATCTCCGGTGGCTACCAGGGACAAGGACAATACCAGGGAGGCTATGACACCTCTCGCCAGCAGATCGTGGACTGCCAGTGTGTGCCCATCTCTCAGTGCCCAGCCGCTGATCGTATTGGACGCAAGGACGACCTCATTCTGGCCATTGATCCCCGTAACCTGGGCAAGGACATCGAGGCTGTGAGCGATGATGTTGCTGCCAGCACCAATGCCACTGCTCCTGCTGATGGAAAGAAGGCGGAGGAGAAGTCGGACAAGGATGACAAGAAGCGTTCTCGCCGCCAGGCCAATGGTGAACAGAAGGACGACGATGCCAGCGATCTGTCGCTCGATGCCCAAGGGGTAAGTGTCTCAGTAGTTCCTCTTCAGATAGACTTAGTTATAGGTAGAGCCCGACTAATGCCAAATCACACATGGTTCACACGGACCACTAATCGAGTTCTAGCAAAGCTGCAAAGCTCCACCTCCCACACACACACATCCAATCAATCAATCAATCAACCAACCAATCAATCAACCAATCTGACAACTGCACCCATCGTTCAACGCTCCAAGCTCAACTAAAAATCCCTAGCTGGCTCCAGAGTGCAAATCGGATCAGATCAGTCACTAATCCCAGAACTAAACCAGCTAACAAGCACGACCTTTGTGATCGCACGCCTGCAACCTGCATCCAGAAACCGGAAACCCAACTCCACCTGTAGCGTCTGTTCTTCTGTATTTCCCTCTTACAAAAAAAAAATTAAAATATAATAGAGACAGGCGCCGCTCGGAGGATCTCCATTGGCATTGCCCGCCCTCCAGGCTATCGAGCTGATCCAGCGGAAAGTGCTGCCCACCTATGGTGTGAGCTTCGGTCTGCCCTATCCCTCTGGTGGCTATGGAGGCTATCCCTCGAATGTCCTGGGTGATCACTACCCCGCCCAGAACCCCTACTTTGGTTCCGTGGGTCCGAATGGCTTGAATCTCGGTCTGGTGAATGTGAACCCGCTCGTATCGGTGCAAGTGGCAAAGACCGAATACGGAGAGAAGGTAGTGAAGCCGCTGGTCAATCTACATGTCACCCCGAATGCCAATCTCATCCAGAAGGTGGGAGACTTCTTTAAACGGAAGCCCACTGAGCAGTACAGCACCCATTACCATCACCACGACCACTACAGTGGCTATGAGCATCACGACTACGAACATCATGGCCATCATGATCACCACGATCATCACTCGTATTCTCCCTACTATGGGGGCTCTGCTCCTGCTCCTCACTACAGTGTGGAAATGGTTCCAAGCACTCCGATCTTTGAGTACCACAGTGGCCCATCTGTCCCGACTCAATATCACCATCACCACGAGGCGTCGTCGTCGCCCTACGACAGCTCCTTCAACTCGATTTATCCCGGATCAGGTCCTGGCCCGGACTTTGGTGGCTTTGGAGAGTACTCACAGCATGTGGAGCGAAGTGCCAATGTGAGCGGCAGTGTTGAACCGCCCAGTTCCCTTCGGCGTGGCAAGAAATTGAACCTAGGACCCCTCTACAACATTCCCACGCCGGCTCCTGGCGAGGCGGCTGGCAGTGATCGGGTCACCTTTCCCAGGGATCGCAGGCGTAGGAGCGTCGAGGATGATGGTGTGTGGGCGGGAGCAGCTCCTGAGGAGCAGGTAACCATGTGTTGATAAAGGCAATTCGCGAGCATCTCCTAGTCACTCTCTCTCTCTCATGTAATATCTAGCTAATGTCTCTCCTCCATTTTACTATTTTAGCGCGCTTACTATGGCAACCGTCCCGTTGAGAAGACCTGTCGCATCAACGAAGTCTGCTGCCGTCGTCCCCTCCGTCCTCAGGCTCCTCCTCAGCAGCAGCTGGGTCGTTGTGGCGTAAGGAACGCCGCCGGCATCACTGGTCGCATTAAGAATCCCGTGTACGTCGATGGAGACAGTGAGTTCGGCGAGTACCCTTGGCATGTGGCTATCCTGAAGAAGGACCCCAAGGAATCGATCTACGCCTGCGGCGGTACCCTCATCGATGCCCAGCACATCATCTCGGCGGCTCATTGCATTAAGTCGTAAGTTTTAGAGGTCCTTGAATGTTTGCAATCAGAGGATTAATCTCCTTGTGTTCTCTCTCCAGTCAAAATGGCTTCGATCTTCGTGTGCGTCTGGGAGAATGGGATGTCAACCACGATGTGGAATTCTTCCCCTACATTGAACGCGATGTGGTCTCTGTGCACATCCATCCCGAGTACTATGCCGGCACCTTGGACAACGATCTGGCCATCCTGAAGCTGGACCAGCCCGTGGACTTCACCAAGAACCCACACATCAGCCCCGCCTGTCTGCCTGATAAGTACTCCGACTTCACTGGCGCTCGTTGCTGGACCACCGGTTGGGGCAAGGATGCCTTTGGCGAGCACGGAAAGTACCAGAACATCCTCAAGGAGGTGGATGTGCCAATCCTGTCGCATCACCAGTGCGAGGCCCAGCTGAGGAACACCCGTCTGGGTTACAGCTACAAGCTGAATCCCGGCTTTGTTTGCGCCGGCGGTGAGGAGGGCAAGGATGCCTGCAAGGGTGATGGCGGCGGTCCTCTGGTCTGCGAGAGGAACGGCGTCTGGAATGTGGTGGGCGTGGTGTCCTGGGGCATTGGATGCGGCCAGGTTAACGTGCCCGGTGTCTACGTGAAGGTATCGGCTTACCTGCCCTGGATCCAGCAGATTACCCAGAGCTACCAATGATTAACGGAGCAGCAGGAGGAACAGGAGAGGCGGCCAGTGGTAACTGCATATCATGCTGCAGACACTATTGAAGCATTGCCGAATGATGCCGCCTCCGATGAGTTCGTTTTCCACTTCTGACCGAAGCCATCGCTCAACCCCATACACACTTGTGCAACTCTCGAATCGCCTCGATTGAATTGCATTCGTCATCGTATTTATCATCGCCGTCACTTGTATTTATTACGAATGTTTTTCTTTGATTACCCGTTATGCTACCTACCTTGTTATACACTTTTATATATTACGCGCCCTCACTTCACTTCACCTCGGTTGTTGCCCACTCATTAGCAACCCACGATTGTTACTTACTTTAATTGGCGCCGGAGACGCACAAGCTCTTGTCCCGACGCCCTCCTTTGTTGATATCCAATTGTAGCTTGTATCGTGTACATTCGAGTTCCGATTTTGTCTTGTAAAATAGTGTTTGTCATAATTAATTTATTTATATATTTGTAAATTAATAATTATGTATTTAAATAAAATAATTTATGAAAAAAATATGATGTCAAATTATTTCCTTTTTCTACTTACAACATAATAAGGGGAAAGCTGCAGACAGAGTACTTAAAACTCTGAGAAAACTTAAATTTAACATGATGAAAGGCTTTAGCAAAAGTTTCTAAGGATGTTGCCTAGGAACATGTTGAGCAAAATTGTTGTTGGCAACACATCGAGCTTGCAAAGGTCCTGCATAAAAACTGCAATATCTATCAATATATTATATTGAATAAGTTTGAATAAAGTCCAGGCTCCAGGAATTTTTAAAGACATTTGTCAAAATACCTTTGAATTCAGCTATATTTACGTGCAACCTTTAAGAATGTTGTTACCAAACTAAATCTCCTGGTTCATATAATCTGAGATATCATAGCGATTCTACAATTTAACAAACAAGGCTAAATCAATTCGCCTGGTGATGCTTATAAGAAATATATATACCCTATGTGGTATATATGTGGTCGTGTCTTAAAAGTATCTGAGAAGTAAATAGTCCCATAGGAAACTGAAGCTACTTTCTTGATAAGTATATTACCTTTTTTAATTGCAGCCTATAATATTTTTTTACCTTATACAATATTCCAATTAAAATAATATTTAAATTTTAATTGAAGAAACCCAGACTTCCCCTGTTCCGTAAATTACAAAATTGCGCCTGCCAGTTAATCTGACAAAAGGCATAATCCCCTTAAAATAAAGCTTTCCCTGCATCGTTGCACTGCTCTGAGCGCGTCAAAGGCACCACTTTAAGTTCAATTACAAACTAGTGCAGCACATAAAATGTAAATTAAATTTTAAACATTAACTAACCTGAGGAGGCCGACCACTTTACATTATGTCCGTTTGAAACAAGCGTGCCAACGAAGCATTAAAAGACGCCACCGAATATCTTGGACCCAAAGGCGGTCGCCGGGCTTCCTCTATGCGATGGATGCGATGACCGCACTGCAAAGGTGCTCAGTTTGTGTGTGTCTGGTGTGGACCCAACTCCACGACGTGGGCAGAGCCATTCAAATAGCCCAAAAGTATGAAAATCATAACATGCCCATCATCAGTTAAATTTAAAAACCGCAACCGACTTTCCGCAACTTGAAAAACTTTCTGCTCGGCTGGCGTCTTTGAGAGACTTATAAATTGGGCACCGCCATCGATGCAGAAGCTCAATGCAGTTCCAGCAGCGCCAGCGAGATGTACGACAAAGGATTACGCTCTCTCCTCGGCCAGCTGGTGATGGGTAAGACGGAACAGGGTGCAAGGGAACATTTCCGACATCCATAAAGATAATCTGATCTTCACCTGAAATTCCAAAGTGTAATTTGTGAATATGATAAAAATATAGTTTATTTAAATTTCTTCCCCATTTCCCCAAATCTTTCCAGTGATCCTCTTGGCTCAGATTATGGGACGCCTGCACAAGAGAAATGGCTACCATTATAGACCCCAGCAGCCGCCACCTCTACACCAAGGCGGATACTTTGAGCCTCATCATCCTGCTGTGGAACCTCCGGAGCCGGAGAAGCAGCATAGTCCCAAAAGCTACTACAGCCAATCTGGAGGCGCTGGCAGTGGCTCGGGGTCCTACAAGGGATCATCCGGTGGCTATAGCATAGGCAGTGGTCTTCGCTCCATTGCCCAGGGGTCGGCAGATCAGGCTCACAGTGCCGTGGCCAACCAGCATGCAGCTGCCAAGCAGGCTGCCTACATTGCCCAGAACACATTGGCCCAGGCAGCATCCCAAGCGGCGGCCACAGCTCAGGCGGCGTTGGTGGGTAAGCAAGTGGTACTCCAGGAGCTGGAGCAGCAGGCGGCCGAGTCGCAGCGCTCTCTATCCCGGGAACTGGAGCAGCTGAAGGCAGCCAAGATCTCCGCCAAGTTGGCCCAACAAACGGCCCAAGCAGCCCATCATCACATCTCCGTGCTTACGGCAGCCGTTAACAATGCCAAGTCCGTGGCCGAACAGGCAGAGCAAACGTCCACGGAGGTAAACAACCAGCTGGCCTCCCAATCCACTATGGTGGGCCAGGCCAAGAACCGGCTGGAGCAAGTAGAGGAGCAGTTGCACCAGGCCAGAGTGGACTATGCGGCCACTAAGGAGTCTGCCATCAAGGCGTCCAATTCCGCAGCTGCAGCTCAGGTGAATGCCTCCAAGGCGGCCCAGCATGCCACGATTGGACTGCACGAGAGTACCAACCAAGGACACGAGGGCCAGGATTCGGACGGACACGAGGAGGAATCCTACGACGAGCATGTGGATACCAGTGGCGTAGGAGTGGGTCACACAGCCGGAGGTGAGGATTTAGGCGAACATGTCAGGACTCCCTACCAATAAGGGATTTCTCTTGGCCGATACACGAATATATTAGACTAAGAATAGTTTTTACTTTATTTATATTAATAAATGGAAAAGATTCAAGTCAGACTTACGTGGCTGTGACTTGCCGGTAGATTAAAGATTTTAAAAATGTATATTACATTTTGTATACACTAAATGTGGGTTATAGGAATTCAGTTAGAAAATTCGAGGAAAAACTAAAACTCCAAAGATTGCACCCGTATATAAAGGTTTTCCACAACGAAGAATCATTGCAGGTGCGGAAAGTAACGGAATATTTCAAAATTTCTCGCAAGGTATGGTAGCGCCAATTTCAGCAGCTGTTGACCGATTTAAATATGACCATATTATCGGTGCTATCGATAATAAATCAGTGTTCTAGCCGCTGTAACTATTTTGGTTTTTGCAATTTTCCATCAATTTCAATTAAAACCCGTCAAGTAACCGGCAAATATGGCCCAAAAAGTTATTAAGTACATCGGCCGAACCACTGATTTCCGCGGCAACACCCTTTGGGAGCTGGTGTCGGAGCTGCCGAACTGGGGTGTGGGCCGCATGCTCATACGTAACATGTTCCAGCGCTATCCGGAGCCGTGCTACATGCGGATCCTAAAAGTGCAAGCCGTGGACGAGCAACCGGGCGAGGTGCGGAAGGTACGAGTTACCGTGGAGAAGACCTGGCGAGGCGTGAAGCAGCCGAAGCCGGTGGAGATCTACAGCACCAGTTACAAGGCGGACTACGAACTGGTGCCGCAAGACCAGGAGGCAAAGTACCTCAACAACAACCAGAAGCTAGAGCAGGTGGTGCTGCCCACCAAGATTGACCTGCCACCGCTGCTCCGTGAGTACGTGACCGAGGAGACGGGCGAGCGCAATCCCCAGATGAAGGTTCACTTCAAGCAGACCCACAACAAGCTGGCCAGATTGGCGCAGGAGGGCGAAAAACCCTCTGTGAGCTTTGGCGTGGGCCTGGGGCAGCCAAAACCGGTCAGCAGCAAGCTGTACGAGGGATTGTTATAGGACTGAGAGGCTGTTAAAATATTAAATACATTTAATTTACACATAAACTTAAGCACAAAAGGTATACGTTAACTATATGTACACGGGTTAGACTCTGGAATGGAATACGATGGATGGGAATGCTGGCATCACTTGCTGCTGCAGGCCTCCATGGTGCGCAACTTCCGCGTCAGGTTGTCCACTTCGAGGCCCAGGACGTCCAGGTTCTCCTTGAGCGTGATATTTTTCAGCAGCGTGTCCTCTAGCACTGTCTGCAGCTTCTTGTTAATCTCTAGCGAAAGTTCGAGCGACATGGCTTTGTTTTCGCCACCCGCCTTCGAGGATCCTCCATAGATGGCCGCCATGATACCATTGCCGTACTTGACCAGCTCGCTCTTGTTCTGATCGCTGCGGGATGTCGTGAGAGCCCCGGCTGTCTGGTCCCGGAGCATGTAGTGCTGCACCACCTTGGACTTTTTCTGAACTTCGGAAACCAGGGCAGCCGTGTGGTTCTCCAGGAACTCTATGCGCTCCGTTTGGCGAGCGGTGGCCTGCTGGAGACGCAGTATCCGCTCAACGAGCACCTTCTTGGACGGCACTGCCTGCAGATCCTGCTGGGGTACTGGCGGAGGTTGTACTGTGGTGGCGCTACTGGCTACGGTTTCGGATTCGGAAGACTCGCTGGCCCGTCGGCTGCTGCTGTGCAGGCTGCCATGGCTACTGGAGCGACTATGGCTGCGCTGGTGCTGAGGATTCTCCGTTGGGTAGTTGCCATTTATCGCCTGCTGGCAGTTGCTGCAATAGCTAATGGGCATAGTCTTGGGTTCCGGTATCCCCCTTTTGTACTTGTTTAGCTCCCGCTGCAGTTCCTTCACCAAGGTGGCATGCTTGTGCTGGGTGGCCTCATAGTCCCCCTGGACGTCCTCCAGCTTCTGCTTGGTCAGCTCGTACAGCTTGGTCTTCTCGGACAAGTGCTTGGCCAGCAGCAGGCGCTCCTCGTTCTTCTCCATAGCCTCTGAGCTAAGCTGCTGCTCCAGTTGATGGTATTTGGAGTCGTAGCTGAGCTTCTCCTGCTTCAGTAACTTATTTTCCGCCTCCAAACCAAGGGCCTAGAAAATAAAAGGAAACGAATGTACAATTGATGTTTATAAGATTTCCCTAGTGGTATCCAAGGCCTCGGTGGCGCAGTTGGCAGCGCGTAAGTCTCATAATCTTAAGGTCGTGAGTTCGAGCCTCACCCGGGGCATGTATATTTTTTCCTTTTTAATTATTTTATATTTTTATATATAATTTTTGTATCTTACCTTTGCTTCCGCCAGACAAATGTCATTCTGCAGACGCACAATCAGCTCACTCATCTCCTTGTTAATGCTGAGCAATTCGTGATTCTTGACTTTTAGCTGTTCCAAATCGGCTTCGTTGTCGTGGGCCAAGGCTTCCAACTGTTGAACTCGCGTTTGTTCTTCCACCAGCTTTTCCTCGTTGCTAGAAAATGTAATTATGAAATTTATATATAATTGAAATTTTTAAAGCAAAAAAATATTGTGTTACATAGTATTCTGCGTGCGCAGGAGCTGGAGCTCTTCCAGCTGCCCCCTCAGTTTGGCGGAGTTAAGCAGCTCATCGCTGTAGGAAGCCTCCACGGAGTTGTGCTGCTCCTTTAAGCGATTCAGTTCATCAGTGAGTTGGCCATGCGATGCTGTGATCTCCTGAAGCTGCTGCTGCAGTTCCCTGTTGGCTTCGCCAAGTTTTTGCTGGTCCTTGGTGACTTTTTCTAGAGCCTCAGTCTTGCTAGTGATCTCATGTTTCAGGAGTATTGTGTTGGCTTCAAATTCCATTTTGAGTTTCTCTGATAAAAGAAAAAATTTCTTTTGAAATTTAAAATGCAATTGGTAGAATATAAACCCACCATTTGCCTTCTCCTCCAGCTTATTGGGAGCATTTCTTTCCTCCTCCAGCTTGCGTTCTAGGGCCTGAAAAATGTATTATTATTAAATGATAAAGCGAAACTCCTTATGTAATCCAAACTTACCGCCTTGGCCTCCGCCTCGTATCCCAGCTTGTTGATGTGATACTTCAGCTTGGACTCCAAGTGACCCATTTCGGTCTTATACTTCTCACACTCCCGCTGATACTTTCTCACTTCGTTGCACTGATAAAGGGTAAAAAGGATAAATAAAGATGGTACTTAAAGCGGTTATCAAGCGTACCTTTTCATCAATCACGTATGTCATACGGGACTTCTCCTCGTTTACGGCCTGGAATCTTGTGGTCATGTTCTTCACTTCCTTTTTGGCCTCGGCCAGATGCTTCTCCACAACCTCCTTTTCCTTTTTGGCATCGATAAGGAGTTTCTCCTTCATGGCAAACTTTATGACGGTGGCTTCTTTCTCTTTGTTAGCCATGTCCATTTCCTTGCGGCACGCCTGCTTCTCCTTGTCCAGGATGGCGTTCTCGCGCTGGATGAGGGTTATCATGTTGTCCTTCTGGCTATTGGAGGTGCGAAGTTGCTCCAACTGCTGCTCGTAGCTGCGACGCTGCTCCTCCAGTTGGGCTAGGCAGTGGACGTGGGAGAGGATATCGTTTTGCCTGGGTTTGGCATCCATTTCCTCCTCCTTTTCCTGCGCCTGCAGATCCTTGAATCGCAGGGTGAGTTCTGCAGCTCCTTCTTCGACTGGCACTTGTTCAAGCACAGCCGCCTTCAGATCCTCTTCCATTTTGCCCTCATCCTTGAGTTCCGGTTCTGTTAAGGGGGTCTCGGATTTCGCATTGCTTTCTTCCAGCTGCTGCTCCATAAAATCCGTTTTCTGTTCCACGTCTTCACTTGATTTCTCATCCGAATTGTGGTTTTCCCGGTGGGAAATGCCGTTTACCGACTTGGCCGGACTCTCCGCATCAGCCGGACTTGCTGCCTCCGCTGTTTCCATTATTGTTTCTTGTTATATTATCATTTATTTAAATTTAACAAAGGCATTTGCAATAAAAATAAAGAATTTGCAATGGCCTTATGATACTGTAATGCAATTCTTATGTTATTTTGATTGGATTATTTTGGTAACACGACTACGGTCACACCGATTTAAACAGGTAAACAATAAAAAGTCCGCATTTTGCAGTATACCTATGAATTTCTGAATTCCTCGTCAAAGTATTCACGCAGTGATGTATGCGGAAATCTTTCAAATTATGTTTTTAAAACGCTATAGAGCTGTCAAACCTTTAATGAAATCTCCAATTAAAGCGGCAGTATCATAATAGTATAAGCAAAAGCTGGCAGCCCTGGGCAAGCCAGCTTAAGCAGATATGGCAGTCCTATTCGCGCAACGCTGGACCTGGTCACACTGGAGTGGTGGAATGTTTTCATAATTTTTAGCCGGTGCTTGTAAAATGCTTTTAATTATATAATAAAGCGCACTGGCAGTAATGGATCCCATTGATACCACCAAGCGCAAGCCCAGACGCACCTTCGGCACACCATCCTACACGTACCGCAATCGTTTTGCCTACGCCCTGCTGGCCGCTGGAACAGTGCTCTTCGGGATTTGGAGGTAAACATTCCCAAGGGGAACATCCCAGTAACCACGTTTTTTAATGATTTTCCTCCTCCAGCCTGACGCCCATTCAGCGGATCTCCAACGAAAAGCTGTCCGCGGCGTTGGCCCAAACCGAGCAGGAGCGGGATAGGAAGGCCCTCTTCGAGTTTCCCGCTCCGCGCACAGCGCGTTTCATTAAGGAGGCCATCGAGGAGAGTGAGGAGCAGAGGGTTAAATAATGGATCGACAGACGCGGCGGGCGAACTTCAAGAACCTGCAGCAAGCCTCCAACAAGCTTCGGTAATTCTTATTTAAATATACATAATTATTTGTTGATGAATAAAATGTAGTTTATTAACCAAAGACCACATTGTTTTCTTTTTTCTTTTAAAGATCGACGCGCAGCACTACCCCCTTATCACTGACCGACTATTTTGGCACTCCAGAAGAGACTGCAAAGAATCTACCAGCACCACTCGCACCTCCAGTGGAGAGCGAACCTCCTTCGCCCAAAATAAAACCCATACGGGCCAGCAATGTGTTCGAAAAACCAGGACCAAAGCCTAAAAAGGCACCCAAGCTCAAGGGCAGCGGCACTAGCTCATCCACAGGCACTTCCCGCCGGGGACGGGGCAGGAGTAAGCAGCAACCGAGCATCAGCAATTTCCTGCGGAACGAACACATCTTCGCCGAGGTCACGGCCCAGCACTGCCTGGCGGACAACTTCAGTCCCGACGATATTGAGATGGCGCTGGCGCTGTCCAAGTCCGAGGCTGAGAAACGGGGATGCCTGCGCTTGAACGACGACAACGAGGAGGAGGCCGTGGTGGACCTGATCGACGATGCTGAGGATTCCACGGAGAACATAAGACGCAAGCTGCAGAAGTACGGGTTTCGCACAGCGGCAAAGGAAGGTATGTAGAATCTAAAGAGTTAGTAAAGCCTTCATTATAATGCCTTTCCCCAAATCGCTTTTAAGATTATAAATCACTGGGAGTCCTGCCTGTGGTTCCTGGAAAAGGTAGCAGACGCGGCAAATGGGCCAATAAATTCACTGCCTTAACCCTACGAAATGCTGAAGTCCAACAGAAGAAGGTGGAGGAGAAGGTATCCACACTGATGGCCCAGCAAATGCGCACCAAGGAGCTGCAGGATAAAGACCGCTTGATGCCACCCTACGAACTGATCAGCTCCCACCTTCAGCCACTCAGAGCCTCAAGGAAATCTCAAATCCTTCACGAACCCAACGAAGGTGCTTTAGAAGATTTGAGTCTGTACTATGTGACCGACTTGATAGAGGTAAGCCAGACACCAGCCAATCATCTACTCAAGAATTGGGCTGCGATACAGGGAAGGGACTTGTCCCCGGAACGTGAGACCCAAAAAAGCCGCCAACTAAAAAAGCAACTTGAGTTGGTATACGCGGAGTTGGAAAAGCATTTTGGAGATCCACAGGAGATGGATCAGCAAGTGGTGGAGGAACTGGATAAGCTTGAAAAGCTGGTGGCAGAGAATATGATTGAAGATGACTCAAAATTGGTTGAGGAGGATGAGGCATCCTCCACCAAAAGCAGTCCCTCAAAAGAGCCGCCCGATAAGCGACCCAAAATGACCAAGGACGACAAGGAAAATGAACAGCCGCCAGTTGTGACTATCTTAAGCGTTCCCACGCGCTGCACTTCACCCGATCTCTTTGCTGATTCCGATGAGGAAATGAATATACCCACCATATCTGACTCCAAGGAGCCAGAGGAGCTGAAAGATTTCTCCTTGAGGGTCTACAAGAATAAGAGTCCAGTAAAAGAAGTGGAAATAATAAGCAGCAGCGAAGAGCCTACTCAGATAACCACCTACGAAGTCTTTTCGAGTTCCAGTGATGAAGGTACAAAAGCTGACTTGAATAATGATCCAAATTCATCGAGATTATCCCCAAAAATCTTCAATATGAGCGCTGTCTTTGAGTCTGACTCTGATGTAGACAATTTTAACATCACTTCCGCATTGGATTCCCAAACCCAAACAGAAAGCTCTACCATCTCCAAGGAGTTGTTCCTCAAATATGCAATACCTACAGTAGAAAAAGAAGAGGAAAATGTGGCTGAAATTTCCTTTTCGCAGGCTTTCAAACACTCATTCCACGTAGATACTGTAACCCCTTCAAGCCATATTGAAAGAAGCTCTAGCTTTAGTGAGCTAAACTTCTCCAGGAACTCTTTGCGAAGAAGTGTCAGCTTGTCCACCGATAACAGTTTCAAAAGCCCGTTCAACTGGAAGATTAACAGCTCTGCTGAGATGAGGGAGCCATTACCAACTCCTACCCCCTGTATCCACTCAGATGTAAGTGTGGATTTGACGCAAAATAGCGATGATGACAACGATGTCATTCTGCTGTCCGATGAGGAGATCAACTATTCCATTTGGAAGGCCAACAAGTCAACCATGGCGGCTGTCAATTTCGAAAATGAGAACTCCGACGACAGCAGCAGTTTTTCTTCTCCAGTGGCTAAAAAGCGCGCTATTCCCCACTTCGAAACCGAGGAGGATCTAAATGCCTTTTTGATGGCAGGTGATTCACATTCGCCCAACAAGAGTGCGCTTAGCAAAGAGCGAGCAGAGTTTGGCATACTGGATGCAGCTCCCTCACAGCCATTTAGCTTCTCCCAGTTAAGACCTGACTCGTCGTCAAGCAGCGATATCAATTGGGCAGAAGCCTCGTTTTTGGATGCACCAGTTAAGCCTTTTGGTCGAAGGAGCAGCCACAAATTCGATGAATTGCTGGGAAAAATAACCGAGCCGGAAAATCACAATTCCGACAACGATTTTGATGAATTTGATCAGTTGGTTTTCCAAAGCAAAAAGAATTCCGAAACGGAGGTCATGCCCAGTGGCCTCGATCGTTTGCTGAATGCGGAGATTAAAATGCCTGCAGCAGAACCAGAAGAGATGAGCATGCCCAAGGATGTGCCGGATCAACTGGAGGTCGCCGGAAATGTGTACACCATAAGTGTTTGCCACAAACCCAAACCGGACTTCGCCAGCCTTCCAGAATCGGAGATTCTACAGCTACTTTACAATTACGGAATCAAGCCATTGAAACGGAAGCAGGCCGTGAAAATGCTAGAGTTTATTTACAATCAAACTCATCCCATTATGCAGGGTTTACCTTTCCGACCAGAGCCCATTGTTCGCTCGAAATCTTCACCCGTATTATCATCTAAACCACTTTCCCAGTTGGTAATCTCCAACCCCACTGAGGACTGCCTGACGCCAACGGAACCAAGAAAGGATTTCAAGTTCAACGATGCCTCGGGAGATCAGCTGCTGCGCTTCTCCCAATCCCTGCCGCCCAGTCTGTGCGACGACTTTGAGTTCTATATCCTGCAGACGAACGTTTCCAAGAAGACGCCGCAGCCGCTGGTGCCGCTGCACATAGCCTGGCACAATCTGCTCTGCGCAAATCCCCGCCTGCACGAGAGCGTGCTCATGTACGAGCCCATAGACCTGCAGGAGGTATATTTGTACCTGAAGCAGATGGGTCATCGCTACGATCCTAAGGAGCTGAGGGGTTTCCTGGACCGCCGGTGCATTATCTTTCGCTATGAGCTGGCCGCTCCAGCCAAGCAAACGGCGCGTCATGTTCGGAAGCTGCCTAAGAAAGCATCCAAACGAAGTTAGATTTATGATTATCGATTTTTGAACAATTTATCTCAATTTATTGGAGTCCATTGCACGTACTCCCTATTCCGAATGTATTGATTTGCTCAATTTATTATTTAAGAATTTATTATAAAATTGTACATTGTTATTATGGGCTTTGAAAAATTTATTGTCCAGAAAAATTTAGTTTAAAAAAACTTGAGAAATATATTTAAGAAATTCCGTATTATACAATTTATTGAAGACCATTAAGATGGGGGTAAGGTAGTTAATTTTTTTGATATAGGATGATTCTTTGTTTAGGATGAACACCGCAAACACATAAACATTAAACATACCATTTTCCCCCCATTAAAAAAACACTATTATACTTTTTATCGGGAACGTAAACTCGAGCTTTATTCAAAGTGATACAATATTGGGGAGAACTGAGCGGACACATACAAATGTATAGAGTTTGCATTGATATAAGCAGATGCAAGACATACTGATATGTTGTAGAAATATTTATATAGAATATTTGATTTGTTACATTAAATGCAGCATCTGTCGACTACCCAAAAGGGGTAAATGTATACGATTATTTGTAGTTATTACGATCTTACGGCACTAAAAAGACACTTGGACGGCATAATTTTTCACGAGAGATTAAGGCACATTGTCTGATTATTGTGGATGGAAAATGGATGTTTGTACTGCATGCAAAATAATTACTCTTGGGTGCAGATGGGTTAGTGGAGGCAGCTTACGGGATATCTAAAGGTTAGTTGATATAAAAGAAGCATAAGAGTGTAAATTGGAGATTAGGCATAGCTAATCTCGTGCTCGTACGTCTTCTCCCGCAGGTCGTCGTTGTCCGGGAGCGCATGGTGGCGCAGGCCGCACAAACGGGGACCGTAGCGCAGCATGACAATGATCACGGCAACGATGAACAGGGCAACGGCGGCCACGGCGGGATAAAGAAAGTAAAGAGCCATCTTTCCCCTTTCTTAGATGTCGCTCTCGCGCTTCTGGAGCTCCACGTATTCCTCGCGTTGACGCTGCTGGTGCAGGGTGCGGCCCTCGGGGCGTGGCGGACGCTGCTGCTGATGCGACGGGGACTGATGAACGGGCTCCAAGTCGTCAACGCCAATCACGACGTCGTCGGGGAACACTTGCTGATGAGTGGTGGGCTGGAAAGACCCAAGTTAAAACCTTCTTAAGCTCAAACTATGATGACTCACATGGAAGCGCTGGAAGTAGGAGGCGTCTTTCAACTCAGTAAAGTCCAATGGCGGCTGCTTGTGCGGAGTGGCTGACCAAATGGATACCAGCCAGCGATTGCCCGTGTGCCTGTCCTGCCAGTACTTGCGGTGCTTGGAGCAGCAGCCCAAGATGATGTTCAATATGATGATCGAGCCAAGGACAACCGTGCAGATGGCAATAGTCACATAAAACGGCGAGAAGTTGCCGTAGATGTGGCCGGTGAAGTAGGGATTCTTTTCGTACGCCTTGCGTTCCTCTTCGATTGTGGACATAGTCTTTTATGGGTGTGGTACTTGAAGGCTGCCTGCTGCACAACGCTCAATTGTCTGCAACGAACAAAGCGCTTGGAGTTGAGAATGGAGCAGGGAGAAGCGCTGCTTAAGTTCAACCACCACGCTGCACGCACAGCAACCCCGAAACCAATTGCCAGCAATTCCAATTAAACACACATTGGGCGTGGCAAGTGGCGCTTGAAATATCCGTCTTCACTTCTCGATTACTCCAGCCGGACTTACCATCTGCGCGCTATTGGTGATCTCCAGGATTGGCACAAGTCCCATTCAGATGTCTGAGCCGTTTAGATTCCTCAAAGTTCTCGATTTCATCCACTTTGCAGCAACGAAAACAACGCCCAAAAGCCTGGCTCAGAAGTTAGTGATGACATTGGCTGCTTCGGCTCAGGGTTGCAAGTGGTTCGATTGATTGTTATCGATCGCAGGTGCACGTGTGGGAACTTATTTGTTGCACACTTTTGGGGGTATTTTAAATTTCCCTTAAAAAGTTTTATTTATAAACATAGGAAAGTGGTATTGTTTAAATACTATTAATTAATATTTAATATGTTTATAAATCTAAAATATGAAGAAATCTTTGCTTGGATTAAAATAATTTTTCTTTCAGGACAAAGAGAATTTTCTGAAACTGTACAAGAATTTACCACAAAAAGCTCCCTTAAATCTGATGCATAAGACTTAAAACAGACAAAAACCAGTTTTTAGGTTCGAATCCTTTTAAAAAATAGGAAACAATTTGAAAATTAAGAAAACAAGAAACATTACAAACCTGAAAAGTCACAAACGAAAATCGTTTTTATGTTCGAACTACGCATTATTCAATATTCAAATCAATAATCCTTATTTCCTTCTAATGAAATAGTATTAATTTCAGAAAAATGTTTATTTAAATGTATTAAACCAAACTTTATTGCATAATCACGGGGACACTTGTTCCACCCTTAAAACACAATTGAAATGGCGCTTGTACTCGCCACTTGTAACTTAATAAGTTAGAACAGGTTCCGAAGCAATCCTAAATCCAAACTAATCCAGCTATTCAATAGCCGTCTTTCCCGCTCTTCCAAGAGGCCTGGGTCACTGGTCGTAGGTCAAAAAGTTATCTAACCCGGTGAGCCGCCGCGCCAGAGCTCGCCCGTCGTCGGTGGGCGTGCTAAAGGCTATGGACTCCATGGAAATCTCCTGACCAATTATCGTGTGGCACTGGACAGCCCGTATTAGCTTGCTGGCGATGCCGCCACGACGGTGAAGGGGTGACACCCATATCCTGGATACTCCGCAACTGTAAGGGGAAAGAAATATATAATATATATAAAATATATTAAAATAAGAAAGAAAAGTACCTAGCCTGGTAGGTCTCCTCGCTGAAGTAGTCCGTGCCATCGACCTGGATGAACCGATGGGCCTGCGACAGGGGCTGCACCAGGCAAAAACCCACAATCTGTTGCTTTCGCACCGCCATGAAGGCCACGAATATCTTTGGCACAATATACGAAGAGTAGCCCAGCTCCTTGTCCACCACACCGATGAGATCCTTGAGTCGCTCGAGTCGTGCCGCCGGCGCCCGTTCGTTGAGCCTTACGATGCGGCCATCGTTGCCCCATTCCGGATACACGGCCACAATATCCTCGTCGATCCAGCCCTTGAAGCGCAGCACATGGATCGAGTTGTGGTACTCACGATGCAGCTGCTCCTCCTCCGGTTCGTGGACGGTGTACACCAATCCGCACTGCTGGCACTGACGGGCACCAAAGGCCTTCTGCCCGGCATCGATCTGGTACTGATTGGATCCCCCCGCCGCCTCGGACAGCAGTCTCATGGAGGTGCTGGGTCGACGACGCGAGGATTTTTGGACAACAGGCTGCAGTCGCTGTGTGAATATGGGAAATAGCTTTGGCTGGGCTTCTTCCGGGACGGGATCCTGAGGAGGTGGAGCCTCCACCACCACTGGTTGCGGCACGGCTTCCATTTGAGCCACCTGCGCCGATGCCTCCTCGCTGTTCACCACCATGTACAGGTCGTCAACAATCCGATTGGCCTCCTCCTTGTGACTGTCCGGATTCGCAATGAAGATCTCAAAGTTCTCTTCGGTGCAGATGTTGTTGCTGATGAGGAACTCGAGCAGGATTTGCTGTTGCTCTATGAGCTCCGGATCCTCCGTTTGGTATGGCAATCGTTGTCGGAATACAGCAAAGGGATCGAGATCTATCCTTGCCTCGGTTTCGATCGTTTCCGGCAACGATTCGGATTCGGTCTCCATGGGCGTGATAGACGCCTTGGGCTCAGACTCAACTATCTCACCGAACACAGAGTCATTTAAGCTTTTGAGGATCGCATCCACGGTGGCCTGCTCCGCGGAGAATATCGTCGCTGACTTGACGCGAACGGATCGTGGCTTCCGGCGTGGCGTTTGAACCAGGGCAATCTTGCCCTGGCTGACACTGGCCTTGATGTTGTCCGTGATCCGAACCTCCATGCAGGTGCTGCTCCTGCGGCCCGACTTGAAGAACTTGCGCTTGCTGAGATCCACAGTCTCGGCGGGCGGTGAAGTGTGTGTTGTAGTCTCGTGCCGTATTAAAGGTATGATGGGTTCCAGCTCCATTGCGGGATCCAAGATGTCCACCTTCTCTTCATCCTCACTTAGGTCGCTAAAGTCTTTATCCGTGTCCCGCCACATGGCTCCAACAGAGACATTGTTATTGTTGTTGTTGTTGGCGTCTTCGGAATCCAGCACACTTAAGGGTTTGGCCATTTTGATCGGATCCCGGGCCGTGCGCAGAATCTCGTGCACCTCCTCCACCTTGGCGCGTTCCTCGCGCTTGGTGGTGATCAAGTTCTTCAGCCTCTCATTTCTCAGGGAGCTTAGGATGTGATTCAAGTTGGTTTGTGGCAAGTGTTGGGATAATCCAGGCCGCTTTCGAATCTTGTGTCTCACTCCATTGTTGATTCCCGTCCGCGCGACTCGACGCTTCGGCGAGGTCTTTGCCTTGCTCGACTGAGGGGTCCTGGCCGCCTTGCCTCGTGTTCCCTTCGCTCGCATCGCTCCACTTTCACTGTGCGAATAGAAGGCCATTGTGGGTATGCTGCTCTCCAGGTTCATCCTGCGCAACTTGCTCTGCGGCGATCCCGAGTCGGATTCTGTTGAGGAGCCAGCCTTGGCAGAAGGCGTGGCCGGGTGCAGGCGCTTCTGGGGCTGACGAGGAGCAGCCCTACAATCTACTTCATCTACTTCATCCTCCGAAGCGAGCATCATTTCTATATTGGATTTTGGAGTCTTGGGGTTGGTTGGGTTTCCACCGATTCTTAAAGGAGAGTTTGGGTCCTTTTCGTGGTTCATAATGGTCACAGAGGCTCTTCGACTCTTCAAACCGCCTTCATTGCTTTTTCTAGTGGGTTTAAGGATGGATACTGGGGACTTTTGGCTATTCGTACTGCTTTTCTGGCCAAGTTCTGTGGTAACACATCCTGGAGAAGCAGCCTTTGTATTGTTTACAGTTTTTGTGGTTTTTCTATGGTTTCTGGGACTGATCCTGGTTTGCTCACTCCTTGCCCCTTGACTGGGCTCCATAGTCTTCAGTTTTTCGTTGCGGGGGCTGCGTCTGGTGCTGCTCTCGCTAACCTCCGGCCTGGGCTTTGGCTTCGCCCGTTCCTGGCGTACTGCCGGTGATCCCGCCTCAGAGGCTGGCGAGGATTTAAGAGAATCCGGCCGCTGGCGACGTCCTTGCTTGGGCGTACGGGGGCTACTGGCTTGGCTGCTGCTACTGTTGCTATTCAGCCGCATTGTGGTGGTGAACAAGTGCGGCAGCTGCTCCTCCGTGGCCGTGGCCGCCACGACAGCCCTTTTGCTGCGCCCCGTCTTGTTTTCCTTGTTGGTTTCGGGGCTGCTATTGGGGCTGCTGCGCAGCACTCGCCTCCTGCCTGGTGTGGCGTGCTCGGTGAAGGAGCCCCCGCTCGGTTTGTTGGGCGTCACATGGGGCTTCAAGGGCGAAACCCCAAGAATGTCGACGTCCTCATCTTCATCGTCATTGATCTTGACTATTCGGGTTACGGGACTGCCGAACAGTCGCCGCTTCCGCTCGGAGAGGCGTGGGGTGGCCGAGCGATCGGGGCGTGAGGCGGACCCACTACCCTTCGGCGTCTCCATGATCGCTGGCAATTTTTAATTCGCATTAACTTTGTCCAAATCCTCCCGCTTTTTTTGCTGCCAGTGAATTATCGACCGCGGTTTTTTCGAGCGTCTACCAACACTCGTGATATCGTGATCGATAACAAATTTAAATTAAAGTTAGTATTTCCAAAAAATATTTAACAACATATTTTAGTATTTTATTCTCGCACCGGCGGTCACACTAGTTGTCTCTGTCACTCTCACTATTTCATCAGGCGTGGATTTTTCAGGGGGAAATTGAAACTTTTTGAGATTTTTTAGGGTAATAGCCTAATTTTCACCAAGGTCACACTGGGATATCGTTCAGGAAAAGGTGTCATCCGTGAAGAAAGTAAAAAAATAAAAGCGTTTCTGCGCTGTAATTTTAATTTAGAGCTGCTGAATAACCAGGTGAGTCTCCCACGTCCATTTACCGCACTCCGAAGCCACGCCACCGCAAGCGGCGAGTACAGAAAACCGTGAGAAAAAATGCGCACTGGCCGTCGCCATCTTTTTTGTGTATGTGGTAGCAATCGAAAAACCGACCGAGGACTCGAGATATTTGTAGAGAAAAGAATTGTTGGTAACTTGCCACGCACCGCGCTGTTTTTATTTGCTGCCGTTGTTGCTGCTGCTGCACTGCATCTTGGTTCGTACCAGCCTGAAAAACTGCCCTGTTTTCTTCTATCCCCTCTTGAGGTCGCGTTTGTCCGGGACCCGTAGTCGTCTTGCCGTAGTATCAAGCCCGCCCGTCGCCCTTACGCGATATATATATCCGAAGAACGCCGCTGCCGCTGCCCGTGAAGCCGCCGCCGCCGCGTATATAATCAATTTTCGGGACCTCCCCACACCAAGTGCAAGAAACGAAAGAACCGTGGACGACCACGTAGCGGAACCCGTTGCCGCCATGCCCGGAGCCGGCACGTTCAAGTTGTTCATCGGGAATCTTGATGAAAAGACGCAGGCCACCGAGTTGCGGGCGCTCTTTGAGAAGTACGGTACCGTCGTCGAGTGCGACGTGGTCAAGAACTATGGTTTCGTGCACATGGAGACCGAGCAGCAGGGTCGCGATGCCATACAGAATCTGAACGGTTACGTGTTGAATGAGTTCGCCATCAAGGTGGAGGCGGCCAAGAGTCGTCGGGCCCCCAACACGCCGACAACGAAAATCTTCGTGGGAAATCTGACCGACAAAACGCGAGCGCCGGAGGTGCGGGAACTTTTCCAGAAATACGGCACCGTCGTCGAGTGCGACATTGTGCGAAACTATGGTTTCGTTCATCTGGATTGTGTCGGGGACGTGCAGGACGCCATCAAGGAGCTGAACGGTCGCGTCGTAGACGGCCAGCCGCTCAAGGTTCAAGTTTCGACTAGTCGTGTCCGCCCCAAGCCGGGCATGGGCGATCCGGAGCAGTGTTATCGTTGCGGACGTTCCGGTCATTGGTCGAAAGAGTGTCCGCGCCTCTATGGCAGCGCTGGAGGCGGACGGGAGCCGCCCTCACCGCTCAGCGCCGGCGGCTACAGAGATCGCATGTACGGACGTGACCCGTATCCGCCGCCACCACCGCCGCCGCCATTCCTGCGTGACCGCATCATGGATGGCTTTAGGGTAAATTCAGTATCCATATCCCGTAGACACATCACCCTTCTGCATATCCATGACTTCCCCCACTTCCTCCCCAAAACAATTTATTTTCTGGTACTGATGAAATGCTTCTTTTGCGTTCCCAGGAATATGATTACTATGACCGCCGCTTTGAGGACTCACGTGATTTGTACGAGCGTCGCTATCAAACATCGCGGATGCGCGACTTTCCGCCGCCGCCGATCTCGCGCCGTGAACCCATGCCACTTCCACCCCCGCTAAGCGGCAGCCTGCGCTCCTGCAGCGTCTCGCGTGGATATGACACTATGTTTAGTCGCCGCTCGCCGCCACCGCCGCGTAGCAGCAATGGAATGAGTCGCTACGGGTAAGTCTCATCCTAGTTGATAATGGAATGTAAAATAGGGGACTCCCAGAAATCTCTTTAGAACTACTATCTGATACCCTTTGTTTGCGGTATTAACCTTCAAATTAATCACTTTTATAGATAATATTATATGGGGGATTTCTTATCAACTCTTTCCTATGATGTTGTAATTATTTTCAAGAGGTCTTACTTCTACAGCTGAGAAAAACTCGATGTCAAAATCGATGCATTGAGTATCGATTTTTTCCCAGCTCTACTTACTTCCTTTTTCTCTCTGCTCAGTTACTAAAGCCTGTTATTCCTTCTCCCCTACAGCTCTCCAACTCCGCATGGGTATGAGGACTTTAGCCGCGACTCCTTCGACGATCGCATGATATCGTCGCGCGGAATGCGTGGTCCCTCGCCTCCGGGTCGCCGCTATGCGCCCTACTGAGATGAGTTTTACTATCACGGCAGCAGCTGAGTTGCGGTCGCACTGCCCCTAACCCTTCCCATGGCCCGCACTCTGTACCACACGGCGACACATGGGTCGAGGAGAGGGTTGGGACAGGATTGCTGGTTGTTTTACTGGTCGCCACAGGCCTACTACCATCCGCCGCATCACCAGAACCACCAGCAGCCACACCAACCCCTGCTGCTGCCGACGACATTTTCACAATTGTGGCTGCCGCCTTGGTAGCCAAGCGTATTTTACTACACCTAAACCGTAATTCGTATACTTAAACCACAAAAAAGTTGGAAACACTCGTCGAAGCATCCTCCTACAAGCCTCCAAGACTAGACAACGACGTGCTCGTCCCTCATACACATACATACGATACGATTCATCAGTAACCTAGTTCAGTTCAATGTTGTGGACTTTGCGAGTACCAATAAAAGCATAAGCTCAGTCGGAAATATGCAAAAAATAAACCTGTATTTTAAAGCTAGGGATTAAGGCAGTTGTGCAACTTTGTCTTACAGCTAGAGTCTCTCCAGACGCTACGGCCGGGAGAGGGAGTGGTGGCTACCATGTTCTTTGGAGACTAACTCCTCCGGTGAGTCGTCGCCGGCGTCGTCGTCATCCACCTTACTGCCACCATTATGCTTGCTCAGTTCTTGCAGCTCTACGGGTGTTGCCTTGTCGAAAGTCGGTGGGATGAGCAATCGACTGTGGAAGTCGAAGAAAAATACAATTATTTTATAAGTAATTCCCCTAGGAAAACGACGGGCAACTTACTTGCTGCACTGCAGCCAAAACATAGAGACGAGCATCATGAAGGAGGTCACCCCGAAGGTCCAATATGTTCCCAGTCTGGTGTAGATGGAACCCACAAAGACGGGGCCCAGGACGCGTGACAGACAGCCAGAGCCAGTCATCCAGCCCATCCAGACACCCTGGGGTCGCGGTCCCAGCACCTTTGAGAAGATGGTCTGGATGAGGGTGACACCAATGGGATAGCCCACCGAAGTAAGGGCAAAGCCAATGATGAACTGCGTCAGTGTCAGAGCTGGCAGTTCGCCACACCACTCCTGCGTGGGCGGGCAACCCAAAAACAGGGGATCGTCGTCGCTCAAGTTGAGGCTGGCATTGAAAGCCTGTGCCAGCTTGGGCGGATCCGGACCCCAGGGCACGAAGAGGACTCGGCCGAGGAACATGAGCGAGAATCCACCCCAGATAAGCAAGTAGCGTTCCGCAATCAGCTTGCACAATGGCGAGATCAGGACAAACGTGACCAGGGACACAATGGCTGCCGTGGTCATCATTATTCCCATGTACCAAAGGGAGTCGGCCTTGGACCAGGCAAACATGTCCATGGTCAGGGAAGTGCCCAGACTGAAAAGGATTAGAGAAGTCATATAAAATCTCCGCGGATTCCGTCAACTCACGTTTCCAGTAGCACAAAGTTGAAGACGAGAATAAAGAAGGCGACGATCAATATCCAGGCGGAGAGATAGTTCGGCTTGATGGCCTTCCAGGTCTCTCGCTCCGAAGTGCCGCCTTGCATGACCATCACCTCACGAGCGGCTATTTTGTGTTCCTAAAGAAGACGATGTTTACCAAGTATATCCAAACAAAGCATCCTTTCGATTTACCTCAAACACGCCGGGAAGGAACATCATAAAGTTGCCGATGCTCATCCCAACGTTAATCCAGCCGGATGCAGTGTACATGTTGAAGTGCATCTTGCCCCACAGCCAGACGTAACCTTGATCCCCCAGAGGAGTAACTGCCGCCTGCAGGGTCGGACCAATAATAAATCCAAGGACCTGGGCCAAAGACACCATGGAAACGGCGTGGGTGCGTTCAGTAATCCTTGTGGCAGCTGACAAATAGGACCGGCACAGAGCTATATTTGCGGAGCTAACTCCGATAAGGAACCGTGAGCCCAGCATCCAGTACTTGACATTATCCGGACGCAGTTCCAGCGAGGAGTACACCGCACTGGCCAACGTGAATAAGGATAGCGAGAGGAGCAGCGGCAGCCGGATTTTGCCCAGCCTGTTGCCCCACCAGCCGAAGATCGGGCTGAAGATCATCTGGCCAAGGGGATTGGCGGCCACAATCAGGCCCATAAACTCCTTGCCCGCATCGGGATCTAGCTAAAAAGAGATTCTGATGAAACTCCAAGGGATAACAACCCACCTATGGGAGAACGCACCTTGTTAAGGAAGGGCCATATGCCGGTGAGAATGATGCTGAAACCGAGCGCCATCAGGAACATGGTGTAGTAAATGATTCGGACGGACCGCCATCGCTGCGTGTACTCTTCCAGCGTCTCCAGGCCATCGTCCACGTCTTCGGGCAGTCTTTTTGGTTCGAAGCGAGCAGACATGGTCGGTCGGCTTCTTTGTCTTCCAGAGGGTGGGTCGGATGTGGTGACTCTCTCGGTTGGATTTCAGCGCCAATGAGTCATTCTGTAATCTGAATTGGATCGGATGTCAATTTTTTTTGTATATGAAATAAATGTAAAATCAATGTCATTTGTAAAAGTCAAGTGCCCGTCTTTGTTTTATTTTGTATAAAGAAGAAAGAGCGGAAAATGTAGTATACATATTTTTTATCTTTGTAAAATAATGTTGTATATATGTACATACATATATCTTTTTTATTTTGATTGAGGGTAAATATGTATATTCTTTTATTATTTTTTACATTTAACATAAAAAATGTGTTCAGTGATTAGTTTTGACCATAATTTACTAAATTATAATGCTTAGAGTCTTTAGAAACACTCCGAAGAACCGGTGCGGTTTGTAAATCCATTGGAAAAGAGGTCTCTAAATATTTAACATTTTATTTTTTATTTAATATTTCATATTTTTATACACTTTCATCATTTCCGACCCCAAAAATCATAAATGTAAATATATTATAGCATCAGCAGACGAGTCTATCTAGCCGTTTTCATTTATATTTTTTGTATATTTATATATTTATTTATATTCATATTCTTCATTAAGAAATTGATTTTATCCCATTAGGGCAATCTTTACAATTACATAGGTATTTAATATAATACATATTTAGTGAAAACGTCTAGTCAAGTGTTGCAGCTGTGATTCAGATTAATTATATACAGAATGTGCCGAAAATCTTTTCCACGATACCCGAAATCTTGAGAGGATTATCTGCCGGCAAAGTCGAAGAATATGAAAAACGGTTGGGTTAAGTCTTATCAGAGTAATTAGGGAAGATAAAGGCAATCAGCGGGCGGTATTCGTCCAGCTGTTCCGCCTTCGCGGCGAGAGCTATATGTTACCAAGTGCGGGTGTGTGTACGCCTTAGTTAGAGTCACTATCACTGTGAGGTTGCCTTTGTTTATATGGCTTGATAACGGTCGAATGGAACCTGCCATTTTATTACATGAATTTATCGTTGATCATGCACAGCTTTTGGTTTGTTTTTGCTTTGCCTTTGCTGCTAGCCTGAAAGGTTAAACAGTTGGGCAAAATGAAAACACTGTCGCTAATTCAACAAGTGTTTTGAAGGGCTTCTGATAGTTCAATGGCGGGCGACTAGAAACACAACTTTGTAGGGTTTTTTTTAGAAATACAACTTTGTAGGTTTTTTTTTACTACAGAATCAATTCCAAAATCAATTCTAGATTTGATATTGATTTCCAATTGATGCAATTGGTATTTGTGGCTTGCTGAGAGAAAGATACAAAATGTAAATAGATTCACACTCTCGGAGAATACTAGACAGTGCACCCAGCAAACCATTTAAATCGCGGAAGAGTCGCAGGCGACTCCTCTAAACGGAAGACTATTTCGCTACTTTTATCTTGCATTCCTTAATTTCCTTTTCTTTGAAGCCACTTTAATTTAAAATTAATCTTCCAGCAATCGCCACAGCGAATCCCAGGAGATGCTCCTTGGATTTCAACCAAAATAATTTGTCTAAAAATCTTCCAGGAGACTGCTTCTGGCGAGCGGTGATTCAACAACCGCCAAATGGTTTGCAGGGTGGCGACCGTTGATCTCTTGTTTTCGTACACTCTTTTGTTTGATTTCAAATTAAAACAGCATTTAAATAATTATTTGGCCCGTGTACAATTATTTACTTCTTTGTTTTTGTACTAGTCACGGTTGTGTGTAAATAAAAACATACACTTTGTTGTTTTTTGAGGCGCTGCAACAACAAAATGGAGGTCTCTCTGCTCCGCTCTTTTGTTTTTGACCGTTAAGACGCTCTCTCTTTTTCTCTCTCTCGCGATGCTCCCCCACTGTGTAGAAGAAAGGGGAGAGGATGAGGATGCACTTATTACCAATGAAACCCGAGGTTGGAACTGGAACGACCTGTTGCGGCGGAACCCGGGACGGCACATCCACTGTGGATGAACGATCGCACTGAACTGAACGAAAAACGTTTCTTGCCAACAAATCGTGTGAGGCACAGTGGGGTACTTGACCCCAAAAGTGGTGACAAATTTTGAAAGGAGACTTTTTCTCTTCTAGATGTTTGAAATATAATAAAATATTTATATCATAAACATTTTGAATTGAGAAATTTGTTTAAAATATAATAAAATATTTATATAAAAAATACATAAATATTAATATAAAAATATAAGGAAATTATAAACATTTTGGAGCATATTTAAGCATGATACAATTATAATTGTATTATGTATTTAATTTTAAGAAAATATGTTTTTAAAAAGAAAGTATTACCGAAAATTTATTGAAACTTAGAGAGCCGATTGCTTGGCCTATATTGGAATAAGAAAATATGTTTAAGTGCAAAGTTTTTATGTAGAGAGCTCCTATTGTACAGTACAGCTTAAAAGTATGCTACTGCAGATGTCAGCGGACATAAATAATCGTATTTCTCATTTATCATTTAAGAAAACCGTTACTGCCTTCTGCAGGGTATGAAACATTAAAATTTAATAGGTAAAATTGCAAAATTTCTTATAAATATACAACAAAAATGAATGTAAAAATAGTTATCGTATAAAGGGATTGATTAAGACAGCAGGTACTCCTCTAAAAATTGGCCCTCGCCTGCTGCAGACGCATCAGCCGCCGCTGACGCAGCCAGGGCAGCAGACCAACCCGCTGGGCAGGAAGGATAGCTGGGGCTGGAGTCATTGGAGCAGCCAGGGTTACGGCCTCCGGAACGATCTCATTACGCCGCACATCACGGAACTTGGCACTTGGCCGGCGGTGTTCCTGATCCTGCTCCTCCTCCTCATCTTCCTCGCGGTTCTTGGCTTGGGGCAGAGCCTCGTTCCTTATATTCAGGCTGAACACGTCGCCACTGCGGGGATCGGACGACAGATGGCTCACTGTTTCCTGCAGGACTCGTGGAATGCGCTCAACCACTTGCAGAGCATCGCGCAGCGGCCGAATCTCACGCTCCGGCTCCCGACGCAACTTTTCCTTGTCGGCTGCCTTATTTTTGGGGAACCTGCGAGAGGAGGGGCTCTTCTTGGTCTTTCGGAAAGCCTGAGCCTTGTTCAAGGGAGCTGGGCGGGTCAGACGTGGAGCGCTGTGCTCCAGGAACCACGGTTCACGGCTCAACAGCGGAGCAGGCTCCTCCTGAACAGCCTGACGCTTGAAACCCGACGGCTTGGACTTTTGCGCACGAGTGCCTAGCGGTGAGGGACGCACCAGGGAGCCGGCAAAGTCATTGAACCACTCCAGATGATCGACGGACCGCTTGTGGCGCCTGGTCAGATCCACCTCTGAAACCTTGGATACCGTCTCCAAAGCATTGCCCGCAAATTGCCCGGAAACTTTCTGGCTGGCAGGCTTATAGATGGTGATGTTGGAGCGACGGTTCCGAGGGGCTTTACCGGATGGAGAGGCACTCCTGGCCACCAGCTCCCTCTTCTGCTCGAACTGCTGGGCATTGCGCACGAAGCGATTGCTGCTCGGTCCCTGGATGACGATCTCGAAGGGCATGTTTAGGGTCTTGGCATTCGTCTGCATGGTGCGGATGCACTCCGTGTCCGAGTTCTCGTCATTGCATTCGCACAGGCACTCCTCGCCACAGTAGAAGCCCAAGCAGCCGCAGTGCTCGCAGAGGGCCTTGCAATTCTTCTCCAGCTTCGACTCCGTGAGAGGATTGACGCGTCGGGTGGCCGGCAAACGGGTGGTGGCCACTGTAGACGGCGATGCCGTGGTGGTACTTGCATTGCTAGGATCAGCACTGACCAGCTGCAACTGAATGACAACCGCTAGCCAAACGAGTAACAGGGCCACCGTATAGCCGCAGAGGCTGGACGTCCGTATTTTTGCCGGCTTGATCATAATCAGTAGGTAGGTGGGTGCTCCAGGTGAAACTGTCTTGTGGCTGGGCATTTGCTCTGCACAACCGATTTTATAACGCTGACCAGGTGAAATCGTAGATGTTCGTGACTGACAGTTGATTCAGATTCTCCATATATACCTGTTCGCCGGAATTTTCGCTGACTTCGTGTGATCTTGATACATTTCCGAACTGGGTTCTCTCCCGCTCTCTCCGTACGCTTCAATGGGCTGATTCCATTTCCATAGCTTGATTTTTTGGCACACTTTGGCGTGCCAAGGCCGGATTCCCGCACTTGAACTTGGCACAGAACAACCAAATCTCTGTTTATAGCATTTATTACAAAAGAAACCAACTAACGAGAAACACTTGCTCTAACGACGCTTGCCCTTGCCCTTTTTGCCGCCCCCGCCGCCGCCGCCACCAGCACCGCTGGTGGTGCCACTCGTCTGTGGCTGCGACTGCTGGTGAAACGAGTCGCCCGTCTTGTTCTGGCGCGTCTTCAGCTGCGGAATCTTGCTGGCGATGTGCCGCATGATGTCCTCGCGGGAGGTGAAGTCGCTGTTGAAGAGCGTGCCGTCCGCGTTGCGCAGCTGGACGCGCACACGGCCGCGGAAGTGGAGCTCGCTGCTCTTCTCGCGGCAGTACTTCATGTTCTCCACCAGGAACTGGAGGTTCGTCACCGACAGCACGTCCCGGATCTCGATGTAGGTGGGGTTCTCCACACAGTTCTCCTTGGGCAGCCGGCGGCCCTCCTGGCGCGTCTTCTTGCTGTTGATGTATGCGGGATAAATGCAAATCCACCTGTGCCAAATAACAATAATAAAACGACATGTGAGGGCGGACTTTGCTTTGCCAGCTAGGGCGGGCCGTTTCCTACCGCTCCATATCGTTGTGCTTCATCGCCGGGTTCCAGTTGTTCCGGGTTGGCGCTGCAGCAGCCATTTTCGTTGTTGGTCTATTCTAATTCGTCTATATTTAACAGAAAAAAGCTGGAAAGTTTATTTTCCACGCAGGCAACCAATAGGGATGAGCAAGTGCACGTCGGAGTTATCGATAAGATGATATAATCGACCCGTTTGACCAGCTGCCGCGGTTTCTGGCGAGTTCGGCAGAAGAAGCAAGAAACGGGCGGGCACACTGCACTCCGCGCAATCAACAAACAACAAAAGGCAGACGAATCTTGAGCAGCAGGCAACAAACAACACAACAATGGAAGAACTGAACAGCATACTGCAGAAAACCAAAGATAAATCAACGCAAAAGGAGCAGGATGAGGTACGTGTCCCGCGGCTTAATCCTTCCGGACCCCTGAACTCTGACATTTGGAGGTGGCGAGGCGACACCAGGGCAAAGTCGCCCTCGCCCTCGGCACCCTCCCCGAAAAACACTAACTAACCAGCTCGCTTTTGGCCTTCTTCTCTTTGCTCCACCTTCTTTGGGGTTTATTTACATGTGGCCCACGCACAAATCCCCCCGCTCACTCCGCCCACGCGACACGACGACGACGACGACGGTGGCTGGTTATCCAGATTCTGCTGCAGCCCTTCACATACATACAACAGATTCCTGGCAAACAATTCCGCTCCGAGTTGGCCTTGGCCTTCAATCACTGGTTGCTCATACCGGCCGAAAAGTTGGCGCAGATCGGGGACATTGTGCAGATGCTGCACAATTCCAGTTTGCTGTGAGTATATCATTTACTGTTTACACAGATGCGGTCGAAATAATAGCATCCGGGGGGAAGTTATTTATAAATAAATAGAGTAATTATTGCGTTGGATTTTTAGTTTAATATTTAAGTAACATAACTGGCATGGCTTTTATTAAATGTTTTTTTGTAAGAAATTGTTAGCTGGGCAGTATTATTTTAAGGAAGAATATTTTTAAGATACAAACAAAATTTCCAGTATATTTGTTTAATACAAATATTGTTTTTAAAACTACAGTAAAAATGTAGGTGGCCTGTTTGACCAAAAATCATTATTTATTCTCTTAATATACATCACAAAATAACTATCTTGGTCATAATCAAATAACTATAAAGCAAGCCTAGTAGGTGGTACTAATAGGATATCCGCTATTGCATTTATTTTTGAATACCTGTCGATATTGCAACTAATCATGCTTCTGACGTGTTTTAAATTTAAATGTCGACCTTTGCCTCGTGGCCTGCGCTTTTTTCTTCTGCATTGTTTGGCTCTTGTTTACCTTTGTTTGTTTTCCTCGCACCGACCCTAAAAAACCCCCCAGAGGCGTCTATGCCACGCTACCCTTGCCCTCCTCCAGGCGCTTGTTTCATCTCTATTCGCACTTGCACACGGCCTGCCTGTAGTTTTGTATACATTTGGTTTATTTGCTTTTGTTTAGATGGATTCCAGATAAAATGCCTAATCGAGTGTGAACTTTTTCGAGCAAAAGCACTGCGTGTGTTTGTGCCTCGAATATGTAGCAAACGGACACTCCTCCAGAAAGAAGAGAAGATTATCCGAATAGGCCACATATGGGCGCCTCTGGAGAAGCCCTTATCATCCACAGTTCATTTCCATAACGCACATTATCAGGCAGAGTGTGAGTCACACCTCTCCCGTCCAACTGGCGACCTGATTTGGCCATATTGAGTAATGTTCTCGGCTATTTGTTGGCTCGCAGTGGTGGTGGTGTTGGTGTGTGTGTTTGCTGGCCCCCAAATCAATTCCTAAAATTTCATCGTGAGCCCGCAGCTTTTTCTGTTTACAATTGAATTTCTTTGCATTTCATTGCTCGCCTCGAAATTGCATAAATTATTTAGATTTTTCTCCAGTCGAGAGTGTAGGGCGGAGGGCAGAGCCCAGTGAGATGCGGAATGTGGCGAGGCAGATGAGTTGGAACGTTACAATTAATCTTTGAACCGAGCCAATTGAAGTGTCTGCTGCTTTTCAATTAAAGCCTCTGGCAGAGTCCAGGGATTTTTCCCTATCTCTTAGCAGGCAGTCAGCCGTTTTTCTCTATGGGTTCAATCAGACAGAGGAGCTAATCCTGTAGAGCCTCCGGCCACCTGTCGCCTTCGCCGTCTTCTATTCGAAGGCAAACACTCAGAAATGGCCTTAATTCTGCTTAAAATCCCCGGCATTGTTCCTTGGCAGCAGCAGTAGCATTCCTTCAAAGCGCCCACTATTCCCATTCGCCCGAGTGGCCTCCCAAGTGTTCTTGATGTTTTTTCGTAATGCATTTTCATATTGGCAAAAACTTAGTTTTACAACGATGCCAGACCCTGCATCCCTCTCTCCGTTCGTCCGTCCGTCATTCATGTACTTATGCCCATTGTCAGTTAGTCAGGCCGTCGTTAGTCGACAGGCATTGTCACAACTCTTGCCACGCAGCAGCAGTGGCAGCACGCCCACTCTTTTTCCCCATTTTCCTCAATATCCTTCCAGGCAGCCTCTCCTCCTCCACTCCTTTGTGCGTTGTCGCTTCAACGCCCACGCCTTCATAACACACCATCCAATCCTGCCCTGCCCCATCCCCATCCCAAAGCCCATTCCCTGCCAATGGCTTTGCCAGCTTTGGCGGAGCGCAAACATTTTTTAATTACGCAAATGTTGGGCTGCCCAGGGCATCGTAGTTATTGAAGCGACGCCGCCCGGCCTTAAAGCGGGGCTTAAATTTACACATCTATTATGGGGCCAACGTATGTTATGTTCATAAATATGTATGCTAGCCAGCCTGCCAACACGGGCAGGGGGACACCTATTCGGTTGCCCAGTTGTCTGAGGGGAAGTCAGAGATGGACACGTGACGGCACGGTTCATTCACACTGGAATTGTGATTTGCGAAATTCTCTTTAAATACGTATAATTACCACATATGGTACGTGCTTCACTTGGGGCTTGCTACAGCTATTTTGTTTATAATTAATTTACTGAGCTGATTAGCAAAGGCATGACTAATCGGCTTCCGTTTTTCTTGAAGCTTTCTTAATAAATATTGACTTTAAAGTAAGAATAGGCATGAGCGATGAAAAAATTTAAGAACATAAATTAAGAATGATCAAATTCAATAGGAATAGTTGATATTTTTCTTTTAACAAAAAAATAAGCTTAAACAACTTAAAAAATTAAATTTAACATATTGGTTTTCGTGGGAAAATTAATATTAATTTATTAATTTAACTATGAAGCTTTCTTGAAAGCATAAAATTAAGAATAAGCATGAGCGATGAAATTATGAAATTATATTAAATATTTGCTTGCAAAAACTAATTTAAAAAATTAAATAAATACACGAAACTTACATTTAACATAAAAATGCCTAAGAAATGTTGCTAGCCAAAAGAATAAATGTTTCTAGGGACATATGTTACTAAACAAAATTAAATAAAAATTTATTTATCGCTTTTTGCAAACGAAAAATTCAAAAAACATGTGTTAACATTAGTTGTAAACCTTTCTAACACCCGTAAAAAGTATTATATGTCTGCGCTATACCCACTAACCCCCAGAAGCATTTCCAACTAGACTTAAAACTAGACATAACTGCCTTGGACACGATCGGTTAACTGACAGAGCTCTTCAACATGTGTGTTCTTTGATACTAACTTACAGCATTGATGATATTGAAGACAATTCGATACTTCGCAGAGGTGTGCCGGTGGCGCATTCTATTTACGGCGTGGCCAGCACCATAAATGCGGCTAACTACGTCTTGTTCTTGTCCCTGGAGAAGGTGCAGCAGCTGGGACACCCAGAGGTAGATCATCATGTTCCCATGTATGCTTCCAGGGAACGCCAAGTAATATGCACTTCTCATTGCAGGCCACAAAAGTGTATACGGAACAGTTGCTGGAACTGCATCGGGGCCAGGGCATGGAGATCTATTGGCGCGACAGCTTTACCTGTCCCTCGGAGTTCGATTACAAGCTGATGACCGTACGCAAGACTGGCGGCCTGTTCATGCTCGCCATTCGCCTCATGCAGCTGTTCAGCTCCAACAAGGAGGACTACTCGAAGCTGACGGCTATTCTGGGTCTATACTTTCAGATACGCGACGATTACTGCAATCTCAGTCTTAAAGAGGTGAGTGTGCCGCCACTGGCAATCATGGGTTAACCGTTAAAGCATGTCATTCCGCATAAGCAGTACACGGAGAACAAGAGCTTTGCCGAGGATCTGACGGAGGGCAAGTTCGGCTTCCCGGTAATCCATGCGGTGCGCACCCAGAAGCAGGATAAACAGGTTTTACGTAAGTCGAACGACTACCCTAGCCAAAGGCTCCTAACCACTCATCAACTTGGGGCTTAAATCCACAGACATATTACGCCAGCGCACGCACGACATTGAGGTCAAGAAGTACTGCATCACCTTGCTGGAAAAGCTGGGCAGCTTTCAATATACACGCAAGGTTCTGGAGTCGCTCGATGCGGAGGCGCGGGCGGAGGTGAGTACTTGAGAAGGAGGAGGACTAGCGTCTGGCCTTTTATGACCTTTGTTAGCTTATCTAAATGGGTGGAGGAAAAATATTGAAGGGAGAGCAAAAGGTCATAGAAACAGTAGACATTACTAGTTTCACACTTAGTACTAATGGCCTTCCCTTAACCCACACCGCAGGTGGCACGACTGGGCAGCAATCCGTACATGGACCGGCTGCTCAACAAGCTGCTCTCGTGGAAGACCAGCGACGACAATAGCATCACGCAGTCGAACCAGATCAATCACAACAACGTCTCGCGCACCAGCCCCAACCAGAACACGCTCAATTGCAATTAGCAGCCAAAGAGGCAAAAGAGGGAGCAGTCGTGAATTGCGAACGGCAGAGCCTCTTTTGCCGCAAATGCGAGACAGCAGCAGCAGCCGCAGGCCTGCCTCAGTGCCGCCCTGTTGCATTTCCTGCAGAAACTGAAGATATTCTAAGATTTACCTAAGTACGTTCCCCCTTTGCCAACCCAGAAAGCTCACAGAAGGCCCTATTTTATGTTTAACCAAAAAAGAAAAACAGAAGCAATGAGAGAAAGGATATGAAATGGAATGGATGGAAAGGACGACAAAACCAACAGCAGCCTTACAGAAAAAAAAAGTTAAGCCAAAAGTAAATTGATATATAAGCCAAGCTTATCCGTGAGCGGGCAAAGAGCCATAGCACACAGCTTTCCAAGAATTTGTTTATGTTTACGTTTAATTTAGTTTCACTTTAAAGTTACGTTAATAGTTGTCCCCCTTCCCCACAGCGAAATCTCGCAGAGCATTAACTTAATCATAGGATATATGCAATTTTTTTACGCTCTTGTATTTCTATATATGTGTGTGTGTGTTTCGTCGATTCTGCAAGCAATTTTCGACTTCTAAGTGTCGTTTATCTCGTAATCCAACTCGGAACTCTATAATGTGCACTTCCTTTATCAACGTTGTTCCATATTTTAATTGTTATGCAACAAGAAAGGCAATTCGTATACACATACTTACGTACTATTAACGCAAAACAAATTGTTAACGTTTTATGAAACAACAACTACAAGAATCAACTATAAAATATATATACATAATTATATATGAAAGTAATGATAATGATGCACTGCACAGCAGATTTTTGCACATTGCACCACCTACAAAATATACACGTACGAGTATATAATATATTATATATAAATCTACATATATTTTTATTGTAGTTATACACTGAGAAAAAAAGAAAGAGAATAACTAGAAAACGGAAAGTAACCAGATTGCTGAAGAGATCATTGAAAACAAATTGTAAACTATGCAAAAACATTTTACGGTAGGAACGAGGACAACTAATAGCCGAGAATTTACAGTGTACGCCCAGGGAAGAGCACCAGAGAAGCGCACCTAACATTTTGCCCACAAACCAACTATTGAAGAAGCATTGAAAGCATATTGTAAATGTATTTAAATAAATATTTATGCCAAGTTGTCAGATGAAGGAGTTTCTTTTACCTCAGTTCTATATTTTTTGCAGGGAATGAAATCATTAGTTATATTAGTTATAAAAATAATCACCTTTTAAGGTCCTTGATTTTTACACATTTATTTAAATAGAAAACAGAAAATAAGACTCTTCTACGCCACTATACATATATAATTATTATATTACATATTAATTTGTTATTTTTGCTTGGCAAGAGACTAAGTATCCTGCTCAATCATATCCATAAGCTGCAGAAACTCCTGCGAAGCCTCATCCACCTCGTCCACCGCATCATACTCTTCGTAATCGTCATCCTCCTGAGTATATATAAATTCATATTTAATATATTTAATTGAAATCTTAAATCACTTCCAAACTCACCTCGAAGCCAAAGCAGTTGGTGGCACTTATCTTATTGGTCGCACTCGGCTCTCGCTTGACCACAACGTCCTCGTCGCCGTTAACTAGCTCCACCACCATCAGCTGACCATCATCGCCCTGCAGTTCCAGGGTAAAGTCCGAGTTGTTCGGCTCCTCCTTGATGTGGAACGTCTTGGTGCCGGTCTGCGTTCGAAGCCGTTTATTGATGATCACGGGCCCCTTCTCGGCCTGCGACTTGGCCTGCTTGTTGATAATGACGGGCTTCGGCTTCGGCTTAGTGGCAATAAACTCCACGTCGCCGTCCTCCTCGTCAGTGTTGACGATTTCGGCAAGGTCATAGCTCTCCGGGTTGTCTTCTTCAACTGGCTCTTCCGTGCTCTGAAGATCCGTCTGCTTGACCAGCTTGACGATAGTTCCGTCCTTTTTCAAGCGGAGATTCCTGCCCATCTTGAGTTGCAGCTGCTTCTCGCGAATGTCCACTGAGTTGTCATGCAGCTCCATGTGCCGCATGAGATTACCCTTGTGCGTGAAGCTCCTGGGACAGCTGGGGCACTGGTGCACCTTGGCGCGTGGCTGCGGCGGCTGGTACGCCGCGTCATGCAAGAGATTTATGTGGCGACGCAGAAGCTGGCGCTGGCGGAAGGCCATCGGACAGTGCTCGCACTGGAACGGTTTCTCGTCCAGGTGGATGAGCATGTGAGAGTCCAGGTGACGCTGGGTCACTGAGGCGTAGCTGCAGAGGCTGCAGCGATAGCACTTCTCGCCCTCGTGGGACTTCACGTGCAGCTTGTATTGGTAACGATCGGGCAGCTCCTGGCCGCAACGGCGGCACGTTAGCGGTTGCTCCGAGGTGTGCATGTGCTTGATATGGATGCGTAGATCCGCTTTGCGTCCACAGGTCGTTGGACACAAAGTGCACTGAAAGACAGGCTTGTCGACCACGCTGTGGATGAGCTTGTGTGCTTTTAGGGAGTTGGACTGCGTGAACCGTGACTTGCAGATGTCGCACTGGTACTTCTTCTCGCCGGTGTGGATCACCAGGTGACGCTTCAGCTTGAACATGTCCTGGGAGGCGTAGGTGCAATGCGGACACTGGTATGGCCGCTCGCCCGTGTGGCAGGTCATGTGGCGGCGCAGCTTTGTCAGCTCCACGCTGGCGTAGCTGCATTCCGTGCACTTGTGCGGCTTCTCCTTGGTGTGCTTGTAGCGCGTATGCCGGATCAGCTCGCCACTGGTGGTAAAGGCGTTCTCGCAGTACTTGCACTTGTGCGGCTTCTTGCCGAGATGCGTGTTCGTGTGGTTGACCAGCCCGACGTTCGATCGGAACGATCGCTCGCATATGGAGCACTTAAAGGCGGGCTCCACGTCGTGCGTCCGGCAGTGGCGGGTGATGAGAAACTTCTTGTTGGACGTGTACGAGCATTGCGAGCAGGAGTACTGCTTGACTCCCGCCTGCTTGGCGGGAGACGCCTGCGACTTTAGCTTCAACTGTTTGCCGGTCAGCACAAAGTCCAAGTCCTGCTTGTCATCTGGCTCCTCCGCCGACTCCACCGCGGCATTGTCCTCGAACTCGTACACCTCATCCTCGTTGGGTCTCAGCACTGAGTTGTCCGCCTCAACGGCAGCGCTGTCCACGGTGTAGTCTGTGAGATCACTCAAACCGGTTGCATTGATATTGGGGTCATCCACTAGCTCCTCAATCTCCCGCTCCAGATCGATGGTTTCAGACTTCGGCACGAGTGGTATTTTCCTGGGTCTGCCCCTTTTAGGTGTGGCCACGGGTGTGGACGCTGGTTTTGGTGCTGGAGGCGGGGGCATTTCCACTGGCTTTGGCCTAGCTGCTGCTGCTCGCGCTGGACGGACGCTGATAGGCTTCGGCTCCGGTGTGGTCTTGGAAGCGGCGCCTTTTGGTGGCGATTTCGCCGGGCGCAGATTGATGGCTACGAAAAATATGTTTAGAATTTAGCACGACCCAAGGATTACCCATGGAAATACCCACCTTTATTGGTGGCCTTGCTGGTCGCCGATCGTGTGTTTTTCCCGGGTTTCTCCGCCTCTCGCTCTTTCAGCTTCTCCTGCAGCTCCTTCTGCTTTTTGGGCGTCGTTTTGATATAGCAATTTCCCTCGTCGTCTATGAAGTACTTGTCCTCATCAAACTCCTCCTCCTCGTCCTCATCTTCGACAACCACGGCCGCCTTGTCTTCCTCCTGATCCGTGTCATCCTCAAAAGTCAAGTCGCCCTCCTCCGCGTCAATGGCCTTCATGATCTTGTTCACTACCTTGTCATCGCTGCTCTCCCCAATTTCCTTGTGGAAATTATTGAAGAACGACTTTAGGTTATCCGGATCCTCCGCTTTTTTGGCTTTCCTCGGCATTCCTGTACGGATAATGAACAGGTTTAGTTTGGGCAACGAACTTTTGGAGGGCAGTGTTTGGTGGCGACACACAGCGGGCGTTGTGAGTCCCCAAGAGGTGGCGTTTATTGATTTATCAAGCCCAAAAACGCCTTATTTAAGGCGCACCATTCACCTAATACCTACTGTTAGCTGCCCAATAGCTAAATTAACTGAATTAGGGGCCCAACTCGCTTATTTTTAGTTGTTTAATTTACGCGTTCTTTGTAGTGCGATTATTTTCCGTCGGGACAGCTGCGCATTTCTAATAAAAGATGGCGACATTTAGCATCGTTCGCGCCAGCTATCGATTGAGATGGCACTATGGGGTGTCATCGATAACCGCAGTACTTGGCAACCCTGTTCGATCATGAGCAACCAGCGATGCCAGACTTTTCGTTCTGAGGTCGAAAATCTGGGAATTTTCCGGGTTTTTGAGATTTTTTAGGGGGAAAGTCAAGGCATTTTCATCTGGCCACACTGATTTCCCACCATCTGCCGCTTCCCGCGCATTTCTTAAGATAAGCCAACTTCTTTTCGGCTTGCTACTCGGTTTTCACTCGTTTAAAAACCGCCGTAGCAACAAAACGTGAAATCCTGCTTCGGTATTAATTTCTCTGTAAGTTCCATTGAGCGTGCCTGGCAGTCGGCGTCCATAACCTTATATATCTGATACAGTTTCGGAGCCAATCCCCACCGACACAACAGAGACAAAATGCCGCGTCGAAAGGCCCAGCCGAACAACAACAATGATGGGGAGTCGGATGCGAAGCCCATGCCGGCTAAGCGCTCCCGCATCGCGTTCCACTTAGAGCTGCCCACCCGGCGGACGACGCTTGGCAATGTGCTGGTCTGCGGCATGGGCGACATCGGCCAGCTTGGTCTCGGCGAAGATGTGATGGAGCGCAAGCGTCTGACCCTGGTGGAGGACATACCTGATGCCGTGGATATCTGTGCCGGCGGTGTGCACAACCTGGTGCTGACCAAAAACGGGGACATTTATTCGTTCGGCTGCAACGATGAAGGCGCTCTGGGTCGCGACACCAGCGAGGAGGGCAGCGAGTCAAGGCCGGCCCTGGTCGAATTGCCTGGCAAGGCGCTGCGCATTTCGGCGGGAGACTCGCACTCGGCGTGTATCCTGGAGGACGGGCGCGTCTACGCTTGGGGCTCTTTCCGCGACTCGCACGGCAACATGGGCCTCACCATCGACGGTAACAAGCGAATGCCCATCAATCTGCTGGATGGTCAGTTGTGCAACAGCATCGCCTCGGGCGCCGATCACTTGGTGATCCTGACCACCACTGGAAAGGTGTACACCGTGGGCTGTGCCGAACAGGGACAACTGGGCCGCATCTCGGAGCGTTCCGTCGGCGGAGAGGGTGAGTCACGCCAAGCAAACACGTTATCAAAGTTGTAATTAAACCACCATTTTGCAGGCCGCCGTGGCAAGCGTGATCTTCTGCTGCCCGCCCAGGTCATCGTCAAGCGGACCAAGCCGATGGAGGCCATTTGGGCCACCAACTTCTGCACTTTTATGCGCGAATCGAGCACGCAGATCATCTGGGGCGTGGGCCTCAACAACTTCAAGCAGCTGGCCCACGAGAAGGAGACCGATCGCGTGCTCATTCCCCTTAAAACAGATTTAAAGGACGTGAAGCAGATTACCGGCGGAATCCATCACACCATAGTGCTGACAACAGACCTAAAGTGCTCCGTTGTGGGTCGTCCGGACTACGGGCGCCTGGGCCTAGGCCCAGACATCAAGGATGTGGTGTCCAAATTGACTCCTGTTACAAAACTAAAAGAAAAGATCGTCTACGTGGGCTGCGGCGAAATCTGTTCATATGCCATCACCGAAGACGGCAAGCTGTATTCTTGGGGCTTGGGTTCCAACAGCCAGCTGGGCATCGGTGATGGAGATGATGAGGTGGAACCAGTCCTGGTAGCCAGCAAGAACACACAGAACAAGCGCATACTGCTGGCCACCGGCGGTGGACAGCATGCCATCTGCCTGGTTGAGGCGGAGGAGCAGGCGGCGGCGAGCAGCAGTAATGGGCAAGCGGAGAAGTCACCGGCTGGCGGCAAGAAGGCCGAGAAGGATAAGGCGACGCAGCCAAAGTCGGAGAAGGATGAGAAGCCCAAGAAGCCGGCTGCCAAGCAGGGTTCCTCCAACGGCAACAAAGATAAGTCACCGGTTTCACAGGAAGATGTCGAGATGACGACGCCCAAGAGTAGCGATAAAAGTGACAAGCCCGATCAGCCGCAGAAGGATGAGAAGCCCAAGAAGGCGGCTGCCAAGCGGGGTCCCAAAAAGAAATAGGTTTAAGATTTACCAACAAACGTTGACTTTTTTGGCCGCATTGTGGCGGCTTTTCTTTTACGCTTACATCCCTACACGTTATCCGTTTAGATTTGAGTTTTTTTCGTTTAAATTATACTGAGAATGCAGCTTTTGAGTTTAAACTTTGAACACAGTAATTCAACCAATAATTGTTTATTAAATAAATACGTTTTGAATACGAAACCGTAATAAATTTGTATTTGAACGCAAAATGAAACTAATTTGAGATTTATTTACAAACTAATCAACTTTGATCGAACATTATTGGTTTACATTATACAAAATACATATCCTACACACAGTTTATTATTAATAATTATTGGCCCAGGCAGGGAGGAATGGGAGGGGCGATTAGGGAAACCAGGAAACTAAATCCTTAAACCTAAAGAGGTATATATTTATATATTTCGGGGTGGACCTGAAGGAAACTCCATTTTAGGGCCATTTCTGTACCCTTTTAGATGATGCACCGCAGGTAAGAACGACAGAGGGTATTAATATTTTCAGTTTTCTACTTGGATTTGTAATAAAATACTTTCTCTAAGATGCGTACAGTTTCCAAGGTAAAACAATTAAATCTGGTTAACAAATCGGGCTTGGGTTTAGGTTAATAACACGGCTGCCTATGGCCTCTGGCTCCTGAGTCGACTGTAGCTAGGGAGGTGGCGGTGGTGGTGGTGATGCTGTTGCCGTCGTAGTTGCTGCCCAGGTAGAAGCTCACGAAAAGGATGCCAAACAGTAGCGACAGTGAGAGAACGACGCGCATCACCTTCCGGGCAAAGGCAATGAGACCAAGCAGTTGGCCGCCAGCTGCAACGCCACCCAGCTGCCGGTCGCTGGAGGAGCCGTAACCGTAACATCTGCGGCATAGCAGCAGCTGTGCCTGGATCAGGGCCTCCAGGCAGTCGCCCTCGGTATCGGCATCGGTCCAGTCCAGTCCCAGATCCATTAAATCCAAAGCACAGGCGCAGTAGCTATCTATCTCTTGGCAGTCGCGGTCTTGGTCGCGCTTTTTATTAATGTGGTCGTCACTGTTGACATCGTTCGGCTCCTGCCTGGTCAGATTACATGGTGACAGTAAATATTATTTGTTCTTGCAGGAGTACGCCGTTGATTTGGGCCAGGTGCCAGCGCCGGGGTGAGCGTGACCCAACTGCTGGTACATGAGGAAGCCGAAGCCAGCGAAGAGCAGCACCATCAGCGCCAAAGTTACATACTGCAGGTTCTGTGTAAAGGCCAGCTGCCGGGCTATCACATCGGACGAATCGAGTCCCTGTTAAATAGTATTGTTTATAGTTATTATTATTTATTGTATTATGCTCATTTCCCTTCGAGATACTCACCGTACTTGACCTCTTGTCGTCTACACTCGGCTTGCTGGCCTTGCTTTGACAATCCGCTGCATTTTTGTCTTTCTTTTCATCCAGACGACAGACCAGGCGATGCTGCTCCACGTTTCCGGCATTGGGAGATTTGTTACGCCACAGCTCCGCCAAATCGCAGTCCGCATCGGGCATCTCCATGGCCATCACCAGGAACTTGTCCTTACTCTCTCCGCTCAGCTGATGCTCAGACTTCAGCCAGATGTTGATTGCCGCCGCCTGATTGGGTTGTATAATGCCACATCGCGGTCGCACTCGGAACTTTTCTGGCGATGTGGTTTGGATCTGCAATGAGAATCGAGATTAATCGGGGATTTCAAGCACAGGAATCCATACCTTACCTTGTAAGTGATTGCCGTCGACTTGGAAACTGATCTGAGGTTCAGCGTGGCCTCCGCATTCTTTGAGTTAAAGTTTAGAAACTCCTTGGGGTCCACTTGCAACATGCCTAATCAAATAATGGAACGTAACACACCCCTTGATTTCAGTACTATAAAATTTTATAATTTTTATTTTTGAGACACAAAATTTTGGCCAAATGGAGATAGTAACTAACAGCTGCTTGCTCAATTTATATGTATTTGAACACATTTGCAAAGCCTACTAATATTAGTCTTTAAACCTTAAACCCTTTTGAAAAGGGTCTTGTCTTTAACAGAAGTTGTATTTTATATTAATTATAAATAAATAATATTTTAAGAATTTAATTTACTGGCTTTATTTTGAAACAACTGTAAATTCAAGCCTTCTTTAAATTAAGTTTTAAGTCTGTAAAAGGCAAAGGTCTAAAGAAATCTGCAACTAATTAACACAGCAAACTAAAAACGTTGGAATTTTACTTTTAGATTTTAAACCTGACTTAACCTAAGACCTAAGAATTATTAAAGATATACCAATTAATCTACAATATGTAAGGCTCCCTGAGTCTAACCAAACTGCGGTCAATGTGCTTCATGTCAGACTTACCCTCGGATGGAGTGTGCATCTCGTTGATGTTGGACTCCTTCAGTACCATGGTAGCGGGGCTGGCAAAGGTGACCTGTCGATTAGAGGGAATACGTTCAAATGGCTATCTGATACATAATACATAAATACTAGTGGTGCCTCATCGCCCCCGTTTTCCACCCTTTTTCTGTGTCGAACGTGCTTTTATGTGTCATTTTCACAAGGGCCGCCTCCTCTATTCTTGGACACCCTTGAGCTCGCATTATTGCCGAAGGTTCCACTTGGACCAGAGGTCGCTCTGTAAATTGGTTTGATTCGGTTCTCAGCCGGATGCGGATGGGGATGCTGGGTGAGTGCGGGTCTTACAATTCATATTTGCATCACCGTATCATGGGGCTTTATGTGGGGGTATCTTGTTCGGCACTTATCACTGCGCACTGCCACTCCCAGAGAACTCACGTAGTTGAAGCGACCAGGCTCAGACATCAGTCACACTCGCCACTGGCACGGAGTTTAAGCCCGGAACTTGACTTGGTACTTAAAAACATAGAGTTAAATCCGGACTTTCAGGAATTTGGATATTGCCCTGCTGCACTTAATTCGCTGGCGAGGAAGTTGGCAGCCCTAAAACTGGGATTAAGCCGCCTGGCATTAGGACGTTAACTCGACGCGTTAGGGCATTTTGCCCATTTTTACTTATTTTATTGCTTTTGTTAAGACATTATTTATTTAAATAATACGTTTATAAAGCTTTAATCTTGTTACTATAAATCTCACATTAATTGCTAATTTGAGCCGAACTTAGGAAATGAACTAGTTTACTGGTTCATTTCCGTAAAAAATGGTTCACAACGGGCAGAAATTTAAAACAAAAGCATTCTTTTTCATTCTTTCCTTTATATTATACAGAATAAACAAACAACAGTCGGCTTTTTGTTGAAGGGCAAATATGCAAGGTGGAAAAAACCGTCTTGCATGGAATGTCAATTCGATCCGAATCGGTTTTCCTTAATGTTTTGTTTAGATTTACACGTAAGGCACACATGATCACCGGACAGTGAACTGTCGTTTTAAACAACCGTATTTAATGTCATTATAAATGGGTCTTCGTAGTTGGTTAAATTATTTAAATTTATTGCATTTTTAATGAGGTACACAGGTTGATTTACAATGAGTTTATGAGACACTTAGCGAGATTTCACTGTACGACACACATACACATACCCTAGGCATTTTTTATTATTGAAGAATGAATATCAATTGGTACAAAAACAACAGCAATAACAATGCAGCTTCCGTCTGATTTCTCTTTGCGCTTTTGTCTCTCCGCTTATTTGTTAATAACAATTAAAGATTGCAAGTGTCCATGCCTATTAGCACTGGTTTTTGAAGCAATCAAACGATTTATGAGGAATATATGAGACTATTTTCTTTCGTTGTTGTCGCGCAAATGTGTGGAATAATTCCAACTAAATGAAAAGCACACCCAAAAAGCGCTGAGCTTTTTGAGAAAGCACAGCTGGTGGTTCTGTTCGTCTCTCTCTTCCGGACGCTCGCTCTCCCGCTTGCTCTCCTCTCGGCGATCAGCTTCTTCCAGCTGTTGTTGTTGCTGCCTCCGCCTTGCGTAAAATGAACTGAAACTGTAAATGAGTGAGAGTGAATGAGCGAGATAGTGAGAGAGAGTGCATTAAACGATGACGTTGCGTGGGTGTGAAATATGTGTGGGTGTGTGTGGAATGCCTGATAACACGCGCTCTGGGAACCATTTACACATACGATACAAACACGGAATGTTCTAATCCCAGTGAAAATGTGTGTCCTACTTTTTACGGGTCAACGCTTTGGGGTCCCAAGTTGACCGCTTACCCAAGCCAGGAGCCGAAAGTTTAGCAATATGTCAAATAAAGGGCTATTTATAGTCGCAGTAATGTTTTGCCCACAGACTGCGTCGAATGAAGACCACAAATACACTTGGAAAAAGGCATACAATAAATTTTAAACCAAACAATATTTAAATCTTGTTACTATTCTCCATTAGAAAACATTTAAATATTAAAGAAACAAAAAAAAGCTAGTTTGTTTAATTTTTTGATAAGGTCTCTAAAAGTATGCAATGATATTTTTTGCCTTCAAAAAGTGCAATTGTAATACGGTGAATTCAAACAAATATACATTATACTTTTAATTTTAAATTGTCAATTAATTTAAGGTATTTTCTTGTGATCTGCAAGGCTTATCAATAAACTCTCCTACAAAATAAATTAATTACTTCTTTCAGTGCCCGAGGACAGGGTCTCGGTTAGCTCAGCTTAGTGGTCAGTTTTTGGGGACAGGCAACTCACGCAGGACACGCGAACTGCGCACCCTAAATCAATATACGCCAAGAATGTAAATCAATTATGGAGAGAGGTCCTTTGAGGTGGTTCGCGTGTGGTTTCGGAAAAAGCAATTAGTCGACCGACGACCGAGGACCACAGACCGACTTCTTCCGGGAGCTGGCGTGTCACAAGGAACACGCCCACAGCCGGACACTTGGTCATCCAAACACCGTTTGAGATTTTGTCTATTGTTTGGTGTGTGGTATCTAATAGTATCCTGCTATTCTGCCCGGCTCAGTCACTCACCTTCCGGTCCGCGAACTGTTCATCCTCGCCGGCATTGGCGGCGGCCGTCGACTTGGATGTAACCTGCCTCGCCTCTGGCACGAAGCTAAATTCGTAGTTATCGCCTCCTCCCCAGCTGGCTAGGCATTTGTCCTTGGTTATATACTGGTTGATGTCCTTCTTTGATATCATTTTCAAAATCTCAACCGCTTTGGGCGGCAGCAGGGCCTTGATGACCTTAAAGGCAGCTTGAAAAAGGGAATAGATACGATGTCAGGGTCACAGTTAAAGTTCAAAGTTGAAAATGAAGAAGAAATTTAAGTAACATAATAGCAAAGTAGTTTTGGAATAAATAGATTAGACTCTTTAATGGGATTTTCTAGATACCTTGCTAAACCCAGTTGAGAATTTTATAAAAATCAGACCTTGTTTCTTTAGTTTACTCACCATTTAGAATCCATGCCAGCTCATACACCAAAATGTAATTCAAGCAGTTGGGGTAGTACAGCTTGAAAGTCTCCACGATACGCTTCACAAAGTCCAGATCCATGGTAGCCAAACCCGTGCCCGCCATGTCGAAAAATATGGTCAACTGGGTCATATGCTGCTCCCTCTGAGTTCTCTCCACCCAATAGACAACGATGCGGATGAGTTCATCCAGATTTTTGGACTTGTTGTGCAAACTGACGCGGAATACCAACAGAGGCTTTCCATCCACATCGCTGCTGTGCACGAACACCGAACCCTCTTTAAGATACTCCTGGTTCAGTTGGCTCTCGGTGAGATCGTTGGCCCCATAGGACTGGCGCCAGACACAGGTCTCCCATAGCTTCGATAAGGAAGCATCCATGTCGAGATCATGCATTTCCAGGAATCTCTGCAGCCAGACATGATCGTTGCGAATGCGATCAATATCGATTGCATGGAAGGGCTCTGGCAAGGGATAGGTAAAACGAGATTATAACAATCTTATCTGTATTGAAGGAACTTATTTTTATGATGTGTTACGGCTTGTGTTTTCTATCTATCAAGGAAAAATTGAACCATGAGCTGTTATTTCTTATCTTTAGGTAGGGCTATTTAACACAAAGTTTCAGATAAAAGAATATTTTTAACATGGGAGTGTTATTTCGTATCTTTGTTTACTGAAGAAGTACTTGTGTATAAATTTGGAAGATATAGGTTTGGTTCTCTTAAATTAATTACAGGTTTTTTAAATACAAAATTAAAAGAAAGCGCAGGGAGTATTATAATTTCTTTACATACTATAAAGTAATCTTAAATAATAGACTTGCGTTTAAGCTTTGACCCCTCCCCACTTAACCTTTTGTCTATAGAAGTCACCTGAAGTTAATCACTAATCACCCATTCCGTTTCTATTTATAGATATTGGGGTAGCTATAGCCTAGGGGGTTCCAAGTTCAAGTTCAGAGCTTTCACTTGAGTGCACTCACGACGACAGCTTAATCGCTGGGGCCTGAGCCGGGCAAAAGTTGTTTTATTTGCTCAGTTTATTTTATTGACTCAGTCGAAAATTGCAGCTGCACAACCGATTAACAGAACACTGCCATATTCCGGGTTAAGAATGAAAAACCCGTAACTATTATATACCATATAGAGTTGATTGCTTTTGCCAGCTAATGCACATTGCACTTTGGGTTGGGTGGGACGCGAATTATCTCACCTGACGGCGGTGACGATTCGTATTTGCTGTTGAACCTGTCCCGCAGTTCCTGGATTAGCGCAGGGGTCGTCTCCTTGACCTTGATGCCCATAGTGCCAGCTACTTAGTTATTCGTCGTAATTCACGCACACTCGAACCCAACCACAACTGTCGAAAGACTAAACATTGAACTATGATTAGGAGCGGCGGAGTGGCAATTCGGGTGTTCCTATCACCAGCGTCTAATCAGTAATCCACTTTCACTGCGATTAGATTTGGGCCACAAATCAATCGCTTGTCGTGCCGAAGTACAAGAGGTACAAGTACACAAAGCAGCTATCGGAGCTACCTTCTCCAACCAAGTGCGTTCCACGAGCGCCTGCGACTAACTGACCAGGCAGGCGACTAACGGTGTCGACATCAGCCAATCCATTAACGATCGGGGGATCGTTAGCAGTCGGCAGGCGTGCGGATCGTATGTGGAGCACCTGTAAGCCAGGTAGCGCCTCCCAAAAGGGCAGACCGCCTGCCTCCCGCCCATCAGCTGCAGCAATGGAACGTGATCGCGTGGGACGCGCCACCTGCATTTCAATTACCCATAGCAACTACTATACATACATACATCCTATATATAGATCGTAAACGATTGAGTGTAAGCTCCAATAAGCTTTCAGCGGAGTGGAAAAAAAAACGCCGAGTTTAGGAAAATAAATATCGTATTATTTACACTATCATACACAGCTTTGTGTTTGGATTTACTCAAATTTATAGACGTATTCATCATTGCCTCCCCAGACCGTCAGGCAGTTGTCCTTGTCCACATACTGTTCAATGTCCTTCTTGGTGGTCACTTTCAGGATCTTCAAGGCTTGTTCGGGCAGGAAGCCCTTGACAATCTTAAAGGCAGCTGAATAGTAAAGATAAATTCCTATTAATATTCAAAAAGCAATAGGAAAATCCAAAGGAAAACGCACCATTCAGCAGGAAAGGCAACTCGTGCACCAGGATATAGTTGGGGGCATAGGGGTACTTGGTCTCAAACATTCCAATAATAGCCTTGATAAACTCCAAATCTAAGTTGCTCAGTCCAGAGCCAGTCATGTCCATGAAAATGGTGATCTTGCCCAGGCCATTCTCACGCTCCAAGCGCTCCACCCAATAGACAAGGACTCGCAGGAGGTCCTCTTGATTCCTGCTCTTGGAGTGCATCTTAATGTTGAGGATCAGCAGGGGCTTGCCATCCTTGTCCTTGTTGTGCACATAGATGGAGCCATCGGTGAGATACTCCTGGTTCACGTTTTTCTCTGTGATATCGTTTACTCCGAAACTCTGACGCCAGACGAGATTGTCCCAAAGTCGAATCTTGCACTTCTCCAGATCCAGCTCGTAGATCTCGAGCAGTTTGGTGATCCAGACATCGCTGTCGTTCAAGCGCTTCAGGTCGTTGGGATGGAAGGGTTCTGGTGTAGTTTGGATGAAGAATTATTTATTAAAAAAAAGTTATTACCACTAACAAGTAGTTCTCGATCTATGAAGTTCGTTCTATAGACTTTTAATTGGGTCTTCTTACCTGCTGGCGGCTCCTTCTCCAATCTCTGGAGAATGTGCGTCCGAACTTCGTTGATCTGCTCGGTGATGGGCTGCTTATCTGTGGACATGTTGCTGCTTGGATCTACTCCAATTGAATAATGGAACCCCAATGGAGTGCCTGGAATTTATATCAGTAGCTACTTCTTATCTCTCCTTGAGCTAATCTAAACAGTTCTAAACCTAGGGGATTTTCTGGATCTGGAACCGGGAACTGAAAGTGCTGTCGATTTTTGCAGCAAAGATTTGAAGTGTTCTGGGCGATGTCTAACCAGCGAGCGGGCTAATCAACGACTGACAGAGCCACAGCAGCCTCAAACGTTCGACGTGGTGATCACTGAGAGCGCTATATGTATGTATTTATTCTCCAATTGTGCTCCGCTTTCGGTGCGATCATGTAAATGACTCAATGCGGGTGGGGGGCAGCAACTGCTCCGCCACTGCCGCCCGTTCTTTAATCAATATAAAAATAAAAGGAAAACAAAAAAACACATTACCCGCACACAGAGGAGGGGACAGTCACTGCCCCTGTACCGAGCCCCCCCTTCAATTGCGATAAGCGGCGTAAACTGGGGAACTGGCAATGTTTATGGTTCGTGCAGGGAACTCTTCGGGAATTGTTTTTTGTGACTTGCTGTGGTTTTCCTTACTTGTTGATTTGTAGGTACATATACATACATATCTGCTTCAAGAGGGGGCGGTGGAAATTTCTGTGGTTTGCTCAAATCGATTCGATATAGTCAGCAAAGCCTACTCAGCCAAGTTATGCCCCTCCGAATGCCAGTTGCAGATTTCTGGGGCTGTGGCTGTAATGGATATCTAATTAGTAAGGGATCTGCAATAGTTATGGTAATTATTATTGCATTGCCTGGCAATAATTATTATTTTATTATTTCCTAATGCTTCTTTTACACGATCGCCCTTAGTCATAATGCATATCGAGCTTTTTAATTTATCTATGCTAAGTATATATCTCTGTATTTTATTGTTAGCTCATTGTTTACTGAAATTTGTGCTTACTAAGCAGATAGGGAGTTTAAAGGTTTCGTATTTTAAGTTGACTAACGATGACATTTTGGTAGAAAACCTAAGACGTCATCATGAGAAGCTATTTTGTCTATTTTACTATTTAAAACATAAAAAATAATGTTTTAAATGTTTTTTATCCAAATTTATAGGTTTTAGGGTATTATATTATATTATATTATCCAAATTTATAGGTTTTAGGGTATTATATTATTATAAAATGATATAAAATATATTGTGTTTATGTAAAATTTTGTATTTACAGAATAAACAAACTAACTAAATAAATATATAAATAATTAAAAACAATCATTATATAATTGAAATAATTTGTGTCAGAGGCCCTATTAATCTAAAGTGAATTAAAAATAATATTTCCCATTAAGTGAGGTTGAATTATAGAGATTTTGCTCTTTACAGCGTAAACACTGTATCAGATTTCATATTTATTCAGGCGCAAATTTTTAATCCCTAATAGTATCTTATCAAAAAAACTAAATTTATTTTGTTGTCAAGATGTTTTTTTATTACGCTGATACTCTATCAAAGTTCACGTTTCTATTATTACTTTTTAATGCAATCATATCAGTTGCACACATTTTTTAATGGGCGTGGATAATAACTGGAAATTACTAATTAATTAATTACTAGCTTGCATGTCATTTAAAAGTACTAATTTATTGCAATTACCATTTAAATGAAATTTAATCTAAAATGTTGAAAGTCGGGGTAAATGGTAAAATAATATCTAATAAAATGTTCAACTTTACACAGAAAAATTTTTTTATTTAACATTTACAGAGATATAATTTTTATCTTTATTTTCGTGCTAAAAAAACCAGGAATTAATTATTATTATCATTTATTAATATTTTAGCTCAATTCTTATAAATTTCCTTACAACATTTAATTTTTTAAAGCAGTTCCTATAGGATAGAGTATCACGGTAACAAAAAAACGTCTTGACAACAAAGTAAATTTAGTTTTCTTGATTAGATACTATTAGGTCTTGAAATAATTTAAACTATTAAACTATTTATTTTGCATTGAAAGAAAATATATTTAATTAATTCTGCAACTCTTCAAACAAAAAATGTAGTTTTTTCTCAGTCTCCGAAATATAATAATAGTTTATTGGAATAAAGTTCGCAGAATATCGCAATTGATAATTTAATAAAGTCTAATCAATTTCTGAAATCAATATGCGTGTGTGTTGCGCTTTTGTTATTGTTGACATTGAAAATGGATGCGACAGGCAATAACAAAACCGAAGCCATTTACATATCGAAAGCTCCACGAAGACCCCTTCTCCTGCCCCGAAATAGCCGATATCCCCGCCATTTGGACCAACATCCCAGAACTTTCGCCACCGCCACTCGGTGGCGGCCCAGTTGTGATGTTTACGTGAAAACGTGCGTTTGGAGCAGCGACCACGTCCTCGCCGTTTCAGCCCGATGCGGATGCAGTGCAGCCAGTTGTGAGGCCCCCCAGTTCCCAAAATGAAGTTCGCCGAGCATCTGACGGCCCACATAACGCCCGAGTGGCGAAAGCAGTACATTAACTATGAGGTAAGTGCCAAAAATCGTCGTTCCAAGGTGCGGAAAAATCTGTATCCGTGTAGATACACGGACGAGTCAGTGTGCTTTTCGCCTGCGCTGTCACTTTGCCAGCTGTGACATCACATGGGCCATCAGCTGTTCAACGCCAACTGTCAAATGGGGGAGCTTTCTCCGCACGGCAATGTTGGCGCATGCGCCCTTCCAATTCGCCGGGTCTAGCGGCACTTTTGTTTTGCTCTCCTCGAACGTAAATAAAGCGGTTCCTAGGAGGATGCGGGGGCGGCAATGAGAGGGTGGGATAAAAGCTCAGGTGGAGAAAAGCAGAGGAGGAAATATAGGTACAGTGAGGGACAAAAGTAATGCGACCCTATTAATTCAAGGGAATTTACTTGATTTTAGAAATACGTATGTATCTATTTGCCTAAATTTTAAATGTAATCTGTGATGACGAGACTGAAAAATTTATATTTTTACTGAAGCAAAAGATGATGTGAACAGCCTCCAATATAATGCCCAACATTTAGTTGATAAAAACCATTGCCTACTTATTGGGATGTTGGGCGCACTGTTTTTGGATACAGCGTTAAAATGTAATCCTTTATTAGTCTATTAATTCTAGTTAATTAATTCTTCGTACAAAATTTTAAATTTTCTTATATTCAGGAAATGAAAGCCATGCTATATGCAGCCATCGAACAGTCGCCATCCGCAGAGCTAGTGGAGCGCGAGATGGTGACACGGTACTTTGCCAAGTTCGATGAGGAGTTCTTTCACTACTGCGACAAGGAGCTGGCCAAGATCAACACATTCTACTCGGAAAAGATGGCCGAGGCCACCCGAAAGTATGGTAGTCTGCGCAGCGAACTGACCGAGGCCCTGGAGATGGGACATCCCAAGAAGCTGCCGGCCTGGAAGAGGCGAACGCCGCTGGGCAAGAAGAATGTACCGGCACGCAAGATACAGGATCTCAAGTTGGCATTTAGCGAATTCTATCTAGGGCTTATACTGCTCCAGAACTATCAGAATCTCAACTTCACGGGTTTCCGCAAGATACTTAAGAAGCACGACAAGCTGCTGAGCGTGGATTATGGCGCCCGTTGGCGCACTGATCATGTGGAGGCGGCTCATTTTTACACGAACAAGGACATCGATCGGCTGATCCAGGAAACGGAACAGGCCGTCACCCAGGACATCGAAGGTGGCGATCGACAAAGGGCAATGAAGCGTCTGCGAGTGCCACCACTGGGGGAACAGCAGAGTCCGTGGACCACTTTTAAGGTGGGTCTCTTCTCTGGTGCCTTTGTGGTACTCTTTGTCACGGTTGTGATCGCAGCCATGTTCTACGGCTTCGGCGAGAATTGGCGGGCGGGCATGAGGATGTTTCGGGCCCCGTTCCTGATCATCGAATGCCTGTTCCTCTGGGGCGTCAATGTCTACGGCTGGCGGTCATCTGGAGTGAATCACGTCCTGATCTTTGAGCTGGATCCTCGCAATCACTTGTCTGAGCAGAACATCATGGAGGTGGCCTCGGTGTTTGGTGTCATCTGGGCCTGCTGTGTGCTTAGTTACATCTTCTGCGATCCTTTGGGAATTCCACAGTATGCAGCTCCCTTGTGCCTCTATACCTTGATGGCCGCCTTCCTGCTGAATCCCACAAAGACGTTCCACCACGAGGCAAGATACTGGGCCTTAAGGGTCCTCATCCGTGTGGTCATGGCCCCGTTTTGTTTTGTGAACTTTGCGGATTTCTGGCTGGCCGATCAGCTAAACAGTATGGTGCCGGCCTTTCTGGATATTCCCTTCCTGATTTGTTTCTTTGGACGGAGTCCCACATGGCACAAGGCGGGAAAGGGTAAGTTGGGTGTTAATTATGGTATTTTAAGGTTTAGAAATACTAAAAATAAGACAGAAAAAAAGATGTTTTTCATCTCAATTTCAATTAGTTTGTAGTCTATTCAGATTTCAGTGCGATTCCCCTATAGATTCCATCGAAACGTATTACATTTTTAATAACTATTAAAACCACGATTTCTTATTTGAAATATTGATTTTCTTGTTTCTTGGACTTTTATTTACTTGCTTCCCAAAAGTTGACTTCCTAATATAGATGCAAACAATGAATAAACCCCCAAGCATTCCAAGAACTTTGCAACTATATTGTGTCGAGTAAAGGGGAGAGCAAATCGTGTATTTATAAATAAACTCGTAAAACAATAGTTCACAATTCCATCCTTCGAAATAAGCCACCATGAGTCTTAACTTTCAACAGAATCGAAATACAAACTACCGGGAATGTGACTTAACCGCATTGTCTGGTTAATTAACCGTGATTGTTTTATTTCCACACCAGCTGCCAGCCATTGTGTGGAATATGTCTCGCTGCTGCACCCCATTGTGGCCATTCTGCCCGCCTACTTCCGGTTCGCTCAGTGCATTCGCAGGTATCGCGACACAAAAGAGTCATTTCCCCACCTGGTCAACGCGGCGAAGTATGCAACATCCTTTTTTGTGGTGATATTTGCCCACAAATATCACACGACCACGGGTAAGTGGATTTATTATGCGCTCCGGTTTGGGCTTGGGCTTGGGTTCAGGGTTCATTAGGGCAGGCCGACAAATATCCACATTATGCGTGCTGTTTACGGAACGGCGCCAATTAGTGCCGTCTTCATGGCCAGCCGCAAAATTCATGTACATGGGAATTGTGTTCGGCAGGCGGGCACGTGCGGCTTTATCTCACTCCTTATGCCAGGATACTGCAAAAAAAAGAGCTTACCATATATGATTCATTAAATGGAGTGCGACTTAACAAAGAATTTAGGCATGTATAATGTAAGAAGTATAGATATTTATAACTTTTTCGTATTGTAAATTCAATTCCAGAAAGCTAAACTAAATTGTATTTGTACAAAGCCCTAGACCCTAATTGAGAGATATTTTTTTCCTGTGCTATTTATAGACACCTATCCTCTGTCCAAGGAGAATCCCTGGTTCTATTGCTGGATTACGGCGGCCATATTCTCATCCTGTTACGCCTACACATGGGACATCAAGATGGACTGGGGACTCTTCGACTCGAAGGCCGGCGACAATCGATTCTTGCGTGAGGAAATCGTTTATTCATCGACGGTGAGTCGGAAGGGGATTGTTTTC